AAAATACAAAAATAAGAAAAGCTAATAAAATACAAGAATCTTAGGTTATTTTTATTGACTTGGTAAATTTCTATGAATATATTATTGATAATTTACTAAAAATTGTTAAATTTGCATAGAAAGTTGTTGCCTAATATAAACATATATACACATACTTAATAAAGACTGACAGAGCACCATATCTAAATTGATCTTGTTTTAGATTCTAAAATATTATGTTCAGAAAAAAATTTAGATGTGGATAATTAGTATAAAATTTCTTACAATACAAGCATAATGCACAATAAAAGGCTAGTTAAATTTAAAAACATGAAACTTAAAGGATGCTATAGAAATAATGTTTTGCATTCTGCATCTTTAAAAAATATGACAATATTACTTAAACATTTGTAAAACAAAATCATTTATAACAACAAATTCTTAAAGTTCTTTGATTATTAATAAAAAATGAATAGAAAGTAGTTAAATTGCAATGAAATTTTAGTACTAACAAATGTGAAATTTATCTATACATCAAGATAGATGTCATAGTTTAGATGTATTGGGTTGGTAGAATGACAATAAAATGGTAAATACTATATAATTATTGCAGAAATTAAAAAGTAAAAAGAAATTATGATGGATGAAAAATTAGTTGTTTAAAGGATTTTTAGCAAGCTTAGAAAGATGCTACACTCAAAGAGTTTAGGTTAGTTAATAATTTGATTAAAAGTGCACAAAGAAAATAAATACACTTAAAGATAAACAAATAAATTGGCTCTTAAATAGAAATTCCACAAAAAATTTAAGAATTATAAAAAGAAAAAGAAAAAGAAATAGCAGTTTTGAATTTTAGAATATACTATGAACTAATTATTAATAAAGAAATATTGTGTTTAATAAAACTTACACAGAGTCAACAAAATCTTATAAAACTTCTTACAACTTTATTTAGTACCTTCAAAACTTACCTTATATAAAAAAATTCATTAATAGTCTTGTTAAACTTCAAAACCAATGTATTTTTTGATTAAAATAAAATAAAATAAATACTTTTAATAATTAATAGGTAGATACCTCCCTTTTATTGCATAGACACCTCTCCCTCCGTATGCCACTCATCCCACACACATAATAACATCATTGTCATATCATTATTTTAAATTTCACAGCCTTGCTCTCCAAATAATTATAGACAATGCAATTAGAACTAAAGAAAAAATTGAATAAACATGAAATGATTATTATTTAACTTTGGAAGATTGGATCTGTATTTTACTATATGCGTCTGTGATGTTCATATAAAAATTCTATAAAATATTTCTATACATATAATTATGAACTTTAGAAAGTAAGTATCAAAATGATATTCTAAAATGAAAAATACTCAATTGCATACATAATTTACACACATGGCGCAAGAAGTGTCCATGCAATAAAAAAAGGTGTCCACCTAGTACTTCCCTTCTTTTTATATATATAATATATATATTGAATTTTATAGTAGATTATCCCAATATACTATTGATAATTAAAATAAAAAATGTCCAGTATTTTTTTAAAAAATATTACAAAATATAATCAAATATCCTAATTAAATTTCAAATCTCACAAAGACCATATTTATAACTTAATTTTTATTAAAATATTTACTTCCATATTTTTGTAAAAAGTCATAAATACTCAATTACGCAAAAGTTCTAAAAGCTACAATCTAACAATTATATATTTTTACATTACACTGTATCAAACTTGTATTGTCGGAAAATAATTCAGTGGCTAAATTGATATTTATAAACTGTTACACTGTCATTTCCATACTAAATAAAGTTGGTATCATCCAACTCAACCACGACATCCGTCCATCCATATAGTCATCCACCACGTCACTTTCATCGACACAACCACCAGATACATTCATCTATCACACATACATCCATCCATCCTGATCGCCGGAGGTAATGCGCAGAATACTTACGACGCAGACACGAGAAAGGAGTCGATGCGGCGCTTGCCTTCCAGAGGCCTGAACAGATACGAATTCCTACCCGTGTATTCCCCGTAGCTCACGGGGCAACACATCGCCGGACTCGATGATGATCGGGACACCAGCTCCGCAATTGGCCGAATCACCGTCTCATCTGCTGGCACTAGAAAGTTTGCGATGCTGTATCTCATCGCCGCACGATTGGCCACAGCGCGGTGCAATACACTCTTGTATCTCCCGTTGGTCATTATCTGCGCCAAATCCAGCGTGAGAAGGTTTCCTGTGTTGTGAGGGTCGGTTACACTTAACTACGTGGGAAGTGTTTGTTGAGAGTATTATTCAAACTGTGGAGAGAATTCTTACCTGCGTTTTGTCACCCAGTTGATCACGAAAGCATGTTTCGTAGGTGGAACCGGGAACCATTTCCCAGTCTCGAGACTCCGTCTTGTAGTAGCGCTGCTAGAATGCCTCGGTCTGCGTGCGGAGCAGATCCTAGCACGGGCTCTGGTTGTGGGCATGGTGGATAACAGTTGAGGTCTGTGCGGATGGCAGCTCAAGTGTCGTGCGCGTTCGCCTGCTTGGCTATGGCGTCAGGGTCTAGGTCCATGCCCTCTGATATGAGCCCCATAAGCAGTGTGAAGAGCTTGAAAACTGCACTGCCATACTTGTCGACTACTTTTCTTCAAGAACAGGTTCAGCGTTAGTGCGACCTGTATCTGGTTCCAGGTCCTTGCAGGGATTACAGAGAGGAGAGATCTTAGGTCGTCCATTGCCTGAAACGTTTGGGCTTCGAAGACATGCATGGATTGGCGAGCTTTTTCTCGTCTCCGTAACTGAACAGGATAAGATTGTCAGCCCAATTGGCAACACCATCGCTCGTCTCAAAGAAGCGTCCGTAGCCTACACACATCCCAGGCTTCACTGCACATTCTACTTTTTCCTCCTGGCTCAAAGAAAAGAACCCATCTGCCACACCTCTAAATTCTTCCATCAGAATAGGAGCCACACCATGGATGATCACCTAAACAACCGCACACACAGGCGTCTCAATGAGTACGAATTCACACTAAATTCGAATGAACAGAGCATAATTCGTACAGACCTTCGCTAACCTGGAAGAAGCCCCATTCTTCGCAAGCTTTAGCGATTTCGGCAACCACACGGCTTCTGAGTTCCTGGTCTGGAGCGTGCATGCCTTCCATGTCGATCACGGGAACAGCGTCAAGCTGGTCAGACGAGTGGGTGCGTCGCGGACTGCCGTGAGCTGGTTGCACGAACCTCGAGGGCACCGAGCTTAACCCCCCAGATTGACCCACAAGCCCCTGCACCATTTGCGGCATGGCGAGAATCTGCTTCGTTTTCTATCAATTACGACGACAAAAAGCTTCACCGCAGCGACAAGGAAGAGATCGGGCACTTGTCTGCACTGATCGGAATAGATCTGTCGAAAGCGTGAGCAGCATAAAGCTTTTTGAAGCAACGAACAGTGACAACACCTTCCTTGCAGGTCCATTGCTTTGCAGCTCTTTGGTAAGCATTGACATTGAGTCTTGCAGCAAATAGGTTGGATCAATACAACATGCATGTATATCTATATGATAATAGAGTTGAGTCCGTCCGTCCGTGCGGCGATCCTTCTGGAGTATGTATATCTATATATATATATATATATATATATATATGTGTGTGTGTGTGTTACGTTTACAAGATGCATCTTCGAAGCTAGACTCACAACGAATAGAACAAATGTTCTACTATTTCCATTCATCTGTTTTAGCTCTTCTAGGCTGCTGTCCTTCAAATCAGTTCTTGGCACTGCACGTTGGAAATCTTTTGAATGATGCATCTAAGTTAATCTTCACCAACCCAGGAGGTCACAATAATTGAACAAAATTAAGTGGGCCAAAAATTCTGCTGTGTTGTACTCATTACTGAACTGTAGGGCATATTTCTGGCCAGATTGGTGTGTTTCAAAGTTAGCACTTCGTCTGCAACAGTACACAAGTGTAACATTTCTAATGAAGGTAGGAGTGTGATGTTTGAGGAAACTAGGAGCAGAATAGTAGCATGGACTGTAGGGAGCAGAAGAGTTAAGCGTTAAAAAGGAAGAACTTACTTTACCAGTTGGGGGCTTATCAGAAGGAATGATAAAGACGCACACGCTATTTGCTAAGGATGATAAAACATACAACTATAAACATTTCTTCTTGTATATGTCTACATCTATATCTCATTAACCTGTGTCGCATGAGTAGCATGGGGATGGTAGAAATTTATCAAAACCGACTAAATGATAGGAAGTTCTTGATCAATTTCTACTATCCCATGCTACTAAAAAATAGTCACATTTGTCAAGTTCCACACTGTTCTTGCTTCACTTAGTGATTTGTAATTAACAACTTTTTAATGTTTGGTGGAATTATTCCCTCCCTTTTCATAGATTTTTCAGAACATAACGGAATATATAATTACCCACAAATTTTGTTATGTGATTTGAGAATCAATAGAACAGCAACAAGTGAACGAGGTTGTACAACCACTAAGTATAACTACAGCTTAGGTGAAACAAAATCCTATTGTGAAATAAACTCTAATTCTACTCGGTTTCACTAACAGTGCTGATACAGCTTGGCTTATTATCTTTGCTACAACAAATACAACTGCTTTTACACGGTGGATCTTTTTGATTATTTACTAATGTTCCTTTCTTGTATATGCTAAATGTGGACTATGAATTAATTTGACCAGATATCTACATAGTGCAAAATTAACTTGTTTTTTTGCTATTTGAAGAGAAGACTTCTGCTTTAAAAAAACTACATGTGATTCACGTCTTTTGCGTCACCTACCTATACATTGGAAAATTCTTGTATACTTATGCATTTGCTTCCAAGGCAGAACTAAAGGTCCACATGGTAAAAGCTGTGACGCTACATGAGAACAACATTCATCTGACCATGATTCAAGGAACAAAATAAACATTATTATGGAAACAACGTGTCTTGCTCAGATATCTCCTCGCCCACAAAGTATATGGATGTCGGTAAAACCAGGCCACAGAGATGAATCCATGGCAATCTGAAATGCTAAAATTATTTTATTATTAGAAAAACTTGGTCAAAGGCAACCAACAGTCCTTTTCTAAACCAAGTTAAAAGTAAACATCAAAAGTTTATACAAAGTGAGGGTTCCGACCTTGGAATTTAGACCTACAATGCAAGTAGAATCTAAGGAACACTGGCAAAGAACCAAGTCTAATATACAGCATAGTCAAATCATCTCGTGAAATCGAGCTAGTGCTTTCTTTTGGATGACGATCCTGTAACTGTCACCGGGAAGGGTTTCAAACCGGGAGTCAGTTTTCTTCTGTTGGCTATGACTTCCAAGCCCAGCCCTCTCTCCTGCTCCTTGGGCTAGCACTGGTTCAACGATACCTGTTCCCTCCTTGCCAAGCCCCTAGAGCCCAAATTGAAAGCGTTAAGTCATTGTAGTTGCAGTATACTAGAAAACTACTAATTCCAGGCACATAACAGAAGGTTGAAGTCTAGCATTACATCAATTAATTTGTATTAATAGGATAACTGAAAAGACACTCGAATATGTAGATTGAAAGGTAGAAATTGTTTAAACAGCACAAAAGAATGGCATAAGAAGGACGTTGGGCGTTCTTCACATACCGAGCCTTCTTGCCACCCCATGTTTCGGAGCATGCGATTGCCAACATTGCTCGCATCCAAAGCTCTCTCAGCGGTGATGACCTCGAAGGACTCAGTCTCAGCACCACCCATGACAGCACCAGAATGATCTGTGACTACCCCCTGTTTTGATCCTCCCCCTCCAACTCCAGGAGGGAAGGGCATGTCGGACCCTCGACCTACCCCTCTTGCTCCAACTCCGGGAGGGAAGGGCATATCTTTCCCTGCTCATAAATTTAAGTGCTGTAAGCATTAAAACATCGACAGTGGAACATTCGTCAAAGGACCTGGATTACTTGTTCATAATTAGAGATAACTCATTCCTAAAAGTATCGTATACCTTTACCTTTCCCATCGCCTTCAGAAACATCTCCAGGCAATGTGGACGCATACAAACTACGACGCTCTGCAGCTCTGTCTCTGTATCCATTTTGAGGGGTTTCAGTGAATCTTCTTCTAGTTGTAGTAGTCGTCGGGACATTAGGAAACGCCCCTAATGCAGACGCGTCAGTTTTAAATGGAGTGATAACGACAGGACTCTCCGATGCTCCACCACCAAGAGAAGGACCCCCCGTCTCAACCCCTCTTCCTCGTCCAGCTCCTCTTCCTGCTGAACCTCCACTTTGCACTGAGCTTGACACACCAAATACTGAGACACCTCTGCCAGAACTCTGAGTAAGGGGTCTGGCTCTGCCAGCCCCTTCAGATGGGTGATAATTACCACTAAAAGGATTTCCCCCTCCACGGCCAAGTGTAGACATTCCTCGTCCGACAGAACCAGTCTGAGAAGGTCTTGCTGAAGCTTGTAATGATGATCCCCGGCCGACTGAGTTGTTAACACTCCCATCCATTGTTATATCTGAGCTTGAGGGAAGCGTTTCTTCAGCAAGGGTAGCAGGGGTCAAACCCTCATACTGGCGCTGTTTCCACACAGACATCACATTATTCATCTTCTTCTTTCCGGCTCCAAGCATCACACCCTTCCGAAGTTCTCGTTCTTTTTCTTTCATCTTCTCTTTCTCTTTCTTGGCAGTGAGCTTCGCAGCTTCAGCAGCAGCTGCTACTGCTTCCGCCAAGGTTGGCTTTTTAGGCTCAGCCTGGGAATCCAGCGTCACAATTGCAGGGGCTGATATGATAACAGCTTTCGATATTGACGTTGTGGTAGTAGGCGCTGTGGTAGCGGACACTGGAGCTTCAGCAGATTCTCCAGCAGTTGCGGTGTTCTCCGGAGGCACATAAGGAGTGTATTGTTGCGTATCTTGATCGTAAGTATACCAAACTCCTGAATTTCCGTCATAGTACAACCCTGTGGATTGAGGAAGAAACATTATTTAATAATGCAAATTCTTTATTACAATACTTAATCCACTGAAAGCCAAACACGACAACAAGATACTACCATGCAGGGACCAATTGTACAAGGCAGATCATGTAACGAAATAAACATGACAGAAGGATTACACCACTTTCATATTCAAATCAGCAGAAGTGTAGCGATCAAAGAGGGTTTTGACTTAATGATCACAGTTCTTACCTTGATTCCCATCATAGTAAAATCCCGAGGAAGAATCATAATAATAACCAGAAGCTTCATCCCAAACAAAACCTGACTGAGGAGCGCCACCATCTCCCTCTCCGCTACTACCTGCGTCTGTTTCAGCTATCTTCTGCAATCCAGTCTCCGCATTCTCGCCAGGATTGTACTCTTTTGGAGCCCAGCCTATCATATCATACTGACAAAGAAAAAGTAAAAGTAACATTAGAACTGTAGTATGATCATCTACAGTATAAAACATTCCGATAAATACACAATATAAATCATCAATAACACTGAAGGTCTTTACGGATCTTTATGGGTACACAAAACCAGTACCGACTTAAAACCGGCCGCAGGACGAAGTCAATTGTGCTAACAAATATTTCCTCGTGCACAAGAGAAGAGTTCCAACTAAAGGCTTAATCCGTTAAAAATTTATTTCAACTACACATAAGAACATAGAACCTTGTCCTCTCTGAAATAATATCCCAAATTATTTATTTAAGTACTTTGCTGGAGAGGAATCCGTCTGGAGCACAAGAATAACACATCAAGTGACCATAATTAGCAGATATTTCCAATAATAACAAAACGTCAGGAAAGAGTAACACCTGCTGAGCAAAAGTTGCAGCTTCAATTGCAGCAGCAGCGGCCGCACTGCCTTGAGAATTGGCACCAGAAGCTGGACCAATACTTTTGGCAAAAGCAACTCGCAAAAGCTGCCCATTCTTATCCAATGCTATTCCATTTGTTGACTCAAGTGCTTTGGCAGCATCTTCCACCTACAACGACAGGATGGATTGTCAATGAATCTCACAGCCAACTTTATTAAAATGGAAAGAGCACTAAGCTCCTAACTATCGCAACTCCTAGTGCATTTTCCATTGCGTCAAGGAATCTGTCACACTTAGTAACTCCGTCACCTATTGAATTCACGAAAAACTATCTATAATTGATACCACCATCATTGCATCCTTTCTCTGGGACATTGGCTTTTGGGTATAGGATTAGGTGACTCCAGCTAGTTTATTCATCAATATTCCATCTCATCACAAAACTAAAAGCAACTGATAAACTACGCACAGTTAAGACATTAGAAGATAGTAATATACCGAGTGAAAATGTATGAAGGCGAACCCTCTAGAAACACTGGTGAACTTGTCTCGTACAAGTCGCAAATCCTGAAAACTCATATAAACATCAACCATAAGATATGAGCATTTCGTAATCACTAAAGACTGCACAAAAAAGGGCCATGTTCTTCCAAAGGCAGACATTACACTCACCAATGAATAACGGGAGTATGAGGTACAATTCCTCTAACAACTGTAAATGCAATTCTGACGATCTCAAAACGAAGGACTAAACAAATACCTTAATGGGTGCATATTTAGAAAATTCGCAGTGCAAGCTTTCTTCATCAACAGTTTCGTCCAATCCACGAACTACAAGGACATGCGTCGGCCCTGCAACATTATCACAGCAAAAGATGAACAAGCTTAAACTATACGCAACAACTCGAACATAAGATATGAGGAAGGAATGACGTGATGCCCTCGTCACGCCTCACCTGCTTCCGAAGTCCTTCTAGCACCAGCTCCTGAAGCAGCAGTTATATCTGCAGCAGGTGATTCATCTGTCCGCGCCTCATTGCACTATCAAAATCACCAACATTTACAGTTAAGATATTCCTTCCTTACTGTATACAAGGACTAATTAACTGCATCAAGGAACATCTCACAAAAAAACCACAGTAGTCTGTAATCAGCGAGGTTAATCCTTTAAATGATATCTAGAGTTCAGAATCGAGAAATTAGGCAATTCACCTGAAAGCACACAACCCGTCGGGCAAAATTATTGCATCCACAAACTGTGCACATCCAATCGGCTGCAGCTAATCCAGATTTCACTAATGCACCTCGACCTGGGCCAGGCAGTATTCCAGGACCGCCTGTAGGTTTGCTGCTGCTTCACAGTCCAAAGTAAATCATAACAGTCGTCACCACCATTAATTCAGAAAACAACGTAGTAAAAGACACATTACATTGATGATCGATAAGGTGTTGCATCAAAACACGGATTAGAGAGATACTTCCTATGATAATTCGAGGTGACCATTCTCAGTTACTATCTCACCTAAAATATTGACAACAGACAGACGCATTCGATACACTGGATGATAGAAACAACCGTAGGAAAATAGATCAGACCTGTATTCAAAAAGTATACGACGCCCATCGATTATAATGCCTTCGTAACCAATACCATCCATCATTTTTTGAGCCGCTTCCTGCAGCTCATATAGAAAGTTCAAATTAACATCCGCAGAGTAATAAATATTTGTAAGAATAACTCAGCAACCCATGAGCCGTTAATAACAAGATTTATGAGCACCAATCTACTATAAGAAACTACTCATATTGCCAAACTTGGTGACCTGTATGGGCTTCAGTGCCTTCGAGGAAACCATTCAGATCTAAAAATCTGAATATATGATATAACCTTAACCAGAAAAATCAGAAAATATCGAGAGAGCAAGAATTCAGAAGTGACCAGTATAACACACATGAAGGAATATAACAACTCACCACATCTGGAAAATCCACAAATGCGAAACCTCGTGACACTCCCGTACTTCGTTCCTTGATAACACGAACGTGTCTCAGTGGTCCCCAATCAGCCTACGAAACATGGAAATAGAATATCATATAACCATCTACTTTGACGCTTACATAGAAGAGGCTGAGAATATTCGGTATTAAGCTTAAAGCAGGAAACATCTTCTAGTTCTAACGAGCAGGTTAAAGCAAGAACTAATTTCATATATACAGCAGCAAAGTTGATGCGATACTTACCAGTGCTTGATACAGGTCATCCTCGGAAATCTTTTGGGAAAGTCCCTTGACCACAAGGGTCGCAGATGGAGGCTGCAGGAAAATCCACGATAAAGCAGGACAACTTAGCAATGTGCACAAACGATCTGCGAATGCTGCATACAAGATAAGGACATGTCACAGACGAATAGCTGCTGGGCAAGAGACCCTAGTAACAGCATTCAGGTGCAAGTCACAATGGCCTGAATCAAATACAGAAAACACAGACAACTCTAAAAACTCAATCTAGCAATTCCACACAGATATCTTCTTGAACGATGAGTCATAGTCTTCTTACCATGGCAGAAGCAGAATGATAACGGGAGTTATCTCTATCCCGTCTCCTCTCATTTCGTAGATCATCGTAACTGGACTCGCGTCCACCAGCTCCTCTGCTTCTGCTCCGAGGCGATCGACTAAAGCGTCTAGAAAAGTCTCGATCATCATGGCCATAAGAGCGGCCCCTTTCGTGGCCTCTAACTCTATCTGGACTCCAGTTCCAACGTTCTCGTTCTCGACTGCGGCTCCTGCTGCGGTCATAGTCCCGGTCCCTGCGTCGACGTGAAGTATCTCGACCTCGATCCTCTCCTCGGGATCGTCGACCGGATCTCTCCCGAGGGGATATATCCTCTCCTCGGAAGCCGGATACGTCATCCCTCCGAAATTTAGAAGGTGACCCACTTCGAGGTCTAGACAGATCGGCCATATCCACATCTCGATTGCCATCTCTGCCATCTTGATAGAAGTGTCGATCGCGACGATACTCCCAGTCAAAATCGCCATCAGCATTCTCACGATCGCGGCTTCCGGTGCGAGAAGGGAGCCTTTCTAACACGACGTCCCGACCGGTTTCCCTCTCCAAGGTTGCATCCCGGCCGCCCCTCTCCAGTGAATAATCCCGCCTTGATCTCTGATAGATCTCTCTCCCCTGGTTGAATTTCTCAAGTCTGTGTGAACCGCGTTGTTGGGTTATTTCTCCTTCGAGAGGCCGTCGTCTGCTCGGTGGCCAACCATGCTGAAGGTAGCTGTCCGCATCGAGACCAGCCTCTCCGGGATAAGCACCTCGCGAATAAGGGGGCCCTGCTTCCCTGGGCGGGTAGGAGTCCTCAATATATCCTCTGTCTCCATATGCTCCCCCGCCCCTGTTACAAACAACTATTTCAGAAGGAGAACAACCAGTGGACTGAACAATCGAGAGCCCCCAATAAATAGAACTGGACTGAGGATTTAACAACTGAGGAGAGAGCGGCAAATGGAAGATCGACCACTTTCGACAGATGCAAAGTTCAGCTTGTGAAAGAATCCATGAGACAGTGTAAAAAGTTCATTTCATTCCAGACGAACTTTTTCGTCTCGTTCTTTCTCCTTTATGTTTCGATTAAATTATGATGGATTCATGAGGAATCAGCAACAAAAACTGTTTGATGCGCTGAAATTGTTGATAAAATAAATGTGACAGGAGCAACTGACTATTAGCGTAGTCCATACACAACAGCACGTTCTTATAGAACTTACGTTCATTCAGAAATCTGAAATTCGATAAAAACCAGGTATAACTTCAAAGAGTACAAAAGTTCAAAAACGAAACTAAACAATGTTCACAAGTATTTCCAAGTGGAGAGTTCAATATGAAATCGAACCGCAATGACACCATATACAATGGTTTGGGTTAGACAATAGCAGAGAAAGAAAAGGGAACCTGAGGTCGGGGCCGAGATTTGGATCATAGCTCTCCAAAGCCTGTGCATCCAAAAGAATAAGGGAGAGTCAGCAGCCAACACAGAAACAGGAGAGAGACCAACCGCCACTGCTTTTTTTCTTTTTTTTCTTTCTGCGAAAGCCATAGCCATGAGCATTTCCATATCTGGGCGGTTTCGAGCGAGCGTGCTTGATACGCGGTTCAAGTAGGTATTGAGGGACAAGAGAAGTCATTATAGCTTGTCATAAACCATGTCATGGGTGTGGGGTATCTCCCCACATGAAGATCTAGGAGAAAAAACCACATCAACCGTGTTCTTTTGATGGTAATATTTTAATGTAATGCGTACGCTGCTGTTTTCCCAGCTTGCTTGTTGCAGCCCATACCGTACGCCATCCATTTCGCGGCCCTTCTCTTTGCATAACCCCAAAGGCTTCAGCTTCGCAGCAACTCTCCTTCCTTAGCCTGATCCTACTCACAGGTATTGACTGTTGCCTTCCCTGTCCTGTATGTAATTGAACACAAACACATTCCTCGGTTATGTCACAGCAATTAATGCGGATATAGCCACCATCCTCTGATCGCCTTCCGAGCCCTTTGCTGGGAGTCTACATACCCTTGAATGCACATAAGAAACTCCACACTTGCCGAACAGAGTCTTCAAGCAAGGTGTGCTTATAGACCATTGACCTAGGATGATTAAAGCAGATCTGGAGACAAGTAGGGCGCTTGCACCATATCCATGTCTCCGCATCATAACCACAATTCAAGCGTGCTCACAAGACGAAGCCTCTTTTCCAGAAGACGAATTCGCTGAATCCACAGAACGACTGAATTAATCTTGTCCAGAAGTAACATTACATGACCCACTATCTAAAAGAATACGCTCTGTGAGCACCTGAGGTATGCAATACAAAATAATAATGATGTGTAGGTAAATCCACCTGGCTCTCTTAATATTCTCTAAACTACAGTAACCCTATCAGACATCTAGTCAAGATACATGTATGGATCTCGCAGGAAAATATGATCACATACAAAACCGCCTTCTTTCCAACAGAACCTCGCTACCCACTGCTACCATGTCACATCAAAACGCACTGCAATTAACACAATTCATAAAAAACGTAAAAGAACAAAGATTATTAGCCATCATCTCTCCCATTACTCTAAAAACTGGCAAGTATCCACCAAGCACACAAATCCTCACCAAACACTGCGCCCCACATTACAACTCATTGAATGCCCATGCTTTAGTCTAGGAACAACTTCCCTGGCTCGGCAACTAAATACCAACACCAACAAAGTAATTTTTTTTTTTTTTTTTTTTTACATTCATACATCTTACTTCCAGGATCAGGATTTAAAAAGTGCAAAGGCAAGGGCTCTTACAGCAAGATTGCAAAAAAACACCGCTGGAAACTCCACAGCCAACACCCACCAGTCGCTCCAAACACAAAACCCTAAAATTCACGCTACTCTCCCCGCTCTATCTATCCAACCCGCGCCCCTTCGGAATTCTCCACCGCAGCAGCACTACCTCCAACCTCGAATCCACAACTCAAAACCTAAACTCCTCCTCCTCTCAAGCTACTCAAACAACGCCAAAACAAAATCCCAGACAGGGATGCTCCCCTCCTCTCTATGTAACAAACAAACAATCTCCCTCCACCCAACAAAGTGCGACACAAAATGTGCTAAAATGAAAAAGTGTGGGGCTAATCTCAGACACCAGAATGGAAGATTGCGGTGGGTTGGGAGAGCGCCACACCGGGAGGCGTTTGAAAGGCCCCGTCGACGTTTCTAGGGTTTGAGGGAGGACCTCGGAAGGGGGGACATGGTACGCAGTGGGTATATTGGTGACGAGAGAGGGGAGAGAGAGGCCAACACATACAAACAAAAAACAATCACACAAATACAAAAAGCAAAGCAAACCCAAATAATGAATGAATGAATGAATGAATGAATGCCCTCCTCGGGACCTCAATAACTGCTATGGCTTTTCGGGGGCCTGTCGCCTTTTTGAAAATGTCATCCTCTCATAGTTACTTTATCATCCATTCTGTTACTTTAGTTCATCCCTTGTGTTGTGATGTGATTTTGTGCAATTGTGTGTTTATTTTACATCTTTTGTGTGATGATTCCAAGGTCTTGTACGTCGTCATTGGAAGTTTTGTTTTAGGGTTTGGTTTATAGACTGTTGTTTGATATGGTAGGAAAGGAAAAGAGAGAAAAATTAAAGTTTATGCAATTTGAAAAGTGGGAATGAAAAAAACTTACACATGACAATTATGGTATGCATTAAATTTTGAAGTGATTTTTTCTAAGTTTTAGATTAGGAAAAACAATAAATTTTGTACATAGTTTTAATTTCTTTTTTATAAATTTGTAAATGTTATAATAAATAAATCAATAGGAAAAAATATTTTAAAAAAAAGAAGAATATTATTTTCTAAATAGTCCTATATGCAATAAGATAAAGCCTATATTATTTATGTTTGTATCAATTACTTTAATTGAGCTAGTTTAGTATATAAAATGCACTCACTTTTAAATTATATTTAGATTAAAACAGTACTTATAAAAATAGTTATAGTTAAAATTATACTCGTATAAGATTTTGATAAAAAATAAATAAAATACAAGCTTAATAATTGACTTTAAAAATAAATTACAGTAGTAGTAGGGTTTTGTTGAAAAATTACAATAATAGTATAGAATTGATATTTTCTAAAAATTCCATAATCTATTTATTAAAAACTTCTGTGCAAATCAGTTATTTTATGTTGGGTACGATTTTGTCTTATTTTAAAATAAAATAAAAAATAATACGAATGTGAAGTTTCTGAGACAAAACAATCTATGGACGACCGAAATATTCACATTATAACTACGTTTTTTTATGATAACTGACTTATGAATGGTAGAATAGTATAAAATCAATAAAAACATAATGTACGAATTCTAAAGTTTGTTGCAAGTCAGATTAGTTTTTATTTTTTATTTTATTTTTTATTTACATTTTTGTTATATTTTAACAGTATATATTTACATCCTATTACCTAATAAATAAATAAATAAATAATATATTTTATAAGTGTAACAAATGAAAATTTAATTTTGAAATATATTTAAAAAATGTAATGAATAAATAAATGAAACCTCAAAACTGTATCATGGTAAACATTTTAAAATGTCCTAAGTTGCAATAGTGAATACCTAAACTTCTATTTAATCTTCGTAAGTTTTTACATGACGTGCTGAATTTTGTTTTAATGTAAAGCACTGCTTTATAAATTATACTCCTCGATTGTATCTTGTCACTGTTGAGCATCCCCCACCCCAGTCCAGCTTCATTGAAAACCTCGCTCTGACCACAAAGGTTATGGCTTTGCATTCGCCTGGGCACAGACTCATTTGTGCTAGTTTCCTTGCTTTTCCAAGTTGTGGGTTGTTCAGCCTTATACATCAGCATGTATCTCTTGTTAGGATTCATTTGTAAATGGATAGCGTGGGTTTGTGGTGGATTCGGAGGTGATGGAGAACAACATCCCAGTGACACTCGTAACAGTCTCCATACCGACAGTGGCGACTACCCACGCTCAACTGACGCTGCGGAGAGTGATGACGTCTACAATCTCGGTAGCTCTGCTGCTCAACTTCGTCCCGTCCAACAACAGATCAAGTATGACGTTTTCATAAACCACCGGGGCCCTGACACAAAGTATTCGTTTGTCACCTTCCTTCAGGAGGGGCTCGAGGAGAAGCAGTACACTCCGTTTGTGGATAAGTCACTGGGAGAGGGGAAACTAGTCTTCGAGGAGATCGAAGCAGCCATTCAAGCCACATCGGTTCACTTGGCCATATTCTCTCCACGGTACGCTGAATCGGAATACTGCCTCGATGAACTGGTTTCTATGCTAAAACGTAGACGAAAGAGTCCCAACGGCGCTGTCACCTTGGTGCCTGTCTTTTACAAAGTGAAGCCTCAAGATCTTCGCACGCCCGATTTACCTGGAAGTCCTTTCTGGCAAGCGTTTCAGAAGAATAAAATCAGATATTCTGGTCGGCGAATCTCAGAGTGGAGGGAAGCTCTACATGATGCAGCCGATCTCAAAGGATTTGTGTTCAAAAAAGGCGAGTATGTCCTCGAAACGCAGAAACAAAACTCTGAGTTGTTTGTAATTGAGTTTGATGTGTAGCACTCTGTTTTTGACAAATTCGATTGAGCTCTACATACTTGTTCAAGGCTTCAAAATTTCACAAACCGCTTGGAAAGTCACCAGTGGTTTGAATGGGCATTTTGCTTCCTAAGTTAACATTGTCGGTACACATGCTGTACTGTTGTCCACCTCCGTCCCCCAGTGTTTAGTTGAGAGGTTCACCAGGCTGCCCTTTAGCACTAGCTGCTCTTCGATTCATCTCCTGCTAGACCAATGAAGGTCGATGAGAACATTCTCATAAGCAAAAATAGGGAGGATTCTGGGCCCCTTTTCCCTCTTCTACTCCATATTTCATAATGTGAGGTTGGCAATAGTACAGTATGGCAAACGATGACTGATACATCCACCTTAATTGTTTTTTTCCTATAGCTTCATAACACCATACACGTTGAAGTCTGGGATTTTCACATTACATTGAAGCATGAAACGGTGCAAATCCGTTGTCATCACTAGTTTATAGTGCTTCAAGTGCTTAATAGATAATGCTAATTCTTGACCTTCTCCTAGATCCCATCAACTTCTCAGTTGGCAGGCCTTATAATGTACGTGGCAAGTTGAGTCCAGCTTGGGTTTTAATGCAGGCAATAAGAGTGCTTCTGAAACCAGCAGAAGGGGTTACTAATGGCTCGTGTTTGGGAGATTGGACTCTGATCAGTTTATCACATCTAGAAAGAGATTGAACAGGATTATGATTGGACACCGATCGATGTGTACCGCGTGTGTGTGTGTGTGTGTTTGTGCAGAGATGGGAAAGAGCTCAAAAATAAAATCATCGACCGGGTGCAGGAACTAATTGCACCACGAAGTAGGGAACAGCAGGTTCCGTGGCCAATCGTTGGCGGCAAGGTGCTACTGGAAGGAACACTCGGATTGCTGGAAGAAATGGAGGACAAGGTGGGGATACTAGGCATATGTGGCATCGGAGGCATTGGCAAAACCACACTTGCCCAGAGAGTCTACAACCTTTACTCCACTGCTCGTGGATTTACTAAGCACACCTTTCTGAAGCTAGAAGCCAGTCAGGACATGAAACTTTTTCAAGCTCAGGTACTCCGCGACCTCCTCAACAAAAATGAGAAGAACTTAGATGAAGAATACGTGAACCACTTCGAGGGCCTCGCTGGAGTGAAAGTGTTGGTTGTCTTAGACAACATATGCAGCGTGGACCACTTCAAGGAACTCGTTCCCAACATGCTGAAGTTGGGCGGGGGAAGCCGAATAATACTAACTTCACGTGAGAGGGATACGATGAGAGCCATCATGAACGTTGAGCCATCCTGTGCTTTTTGCCCGCTTGATATGAAGAAGTTGGGACACGAAGATTCGTTTCAGCTTTTCTGGCTCCACGCTTTCCAGAACAGAGACGTTTCAACGGCCGAGGGTAATGTCTTTCGCCCTCTCGCAGCCAAGGTGGTTAAGTTGTGTGGAGGTCTTCCCTTGGCATTGAAGGTTATCGGACAACATTTATATGGAAAGTCGGAGGAAGTGTGGAGTGAGGCATCCGAGACTCTGAGGGATAGACCTGATATCATAGATGTTCTTAGCATCAGTTACAAGGGTCTACGGGATCCAGACAAGATGATGTTCTTAGATGTCTCTTGCCAAATGGTTGGTTTGCTGGAGGAGGATGCCATCGACATCTGGAAATCTTGTAGGTCTTGCCCGTCCTTGGAGTGCATGACCTCTAAAATGGTCCATGATTCCTTGCAAATTTTGAAAGACAAGTCGCTTGTGGAAGTGGACGAAGACAAAAGACTCACCATGCATGACCTGCTACGGGAGATGGGCAGAAAGATGGACGAGGTGGAGAAGATTGGTAGTTTGAAGAGAGAAGGGCATCGTTGCCACCTGTGGGATCCTAGTGAAGCTGAAAAATACCTGAAAGAAGGCAAGGTTTGTTCGTTTTGAACCATTCTGATAGATATGTACATAAGTAAAGAAAGGTTGATATTAACAAAAAAAAAGAGGATGAACAAATTATATGAATTGAGTTTTTGATGCCTAGTGCTGATTTAATTTATAGTGATTTTTACCACAACTGAAATGATATACGTATGTTTAGATTTGACTCGTGGCTGTGCATGTTTGTAAGCAAGGTGTCTCAGAAGACAAACGTTAATAGTTGATGTTGGTCATGGTAGGGGTCAAAGGAAGTAAGAGGACTCGCTGGTTGGGGCGGAGCCAACAAGTTTTGGTGTATTGGCATTTCAAACGATGTCTGAGATCCACTTGATGCAACTAGATGGAGCTCGAATTGAGGGAGATTTCTCCGTACTATCTAAGAAGATACGGTGGCTGCAGTGGAGATCCTCGTTTCTCAGAGAACTGCCTCCCAGATTGGACATGAAGTGTTTGGTAATCTTGGATCTCTCAAATAGTGACAACTTAGCTCGACTTTGGTCAGACGATGATGAACAGGTATCTAAAGAAAGGATTAATAAGTATGCTGTACTTGGTTTCAACTCAATCCTCTGAGTTGAAAATGCATGTTATTGCCCGATCATTTGTATGATATATGTAGCTCAAGGCCGGCTCTTAATATAATTTGCTATTTATAGATATTTGTGGTGCTGATGTCGTCGTTCGTTTTTTGGATGTGTCGTGACTGTCCCAATCAGGCAGTGCCCAGGTTGCTGAGAGTGTTACTCCTTCGTAACTGCAGAGCATTGAAGAAGCTCCCAAAGACCATCAAACTACTGACCATGCTTAGAACTCTGAATCTTCAAGGGTGCATTAAGCTGAAACTGTTACCAGGCTCTCTGGGCGACCTGCAAGGACTGCAGGACCTTAACTTGAATGAGTGCCGGAACCTGGAGAGGCTGCCCGAGGGCATAGTTAAGCTCTCCAACCTCAAGGCATTGTCAATGGACTTCTGCAGGAAAATAGCGACCCTTTTCCCAACCGACGACGGAGAGCTGGGAGCAAATCTTATCAAATTTTCTGCTCGAAGGGCTTCCAGCCTCACCAAACTGCCAGAATCATTCTCTAGGTTGTCTTTACTGGAGGAGCTCTGGCTGTCAGGGTGTTGCTCCCTCTCAGAGCTGCCACAGTCGATGAAGGGGCTTGTCAAGTTGAGGTTTATCCGTATCGCAAATTCAGGATTAACTCATTTGCCCACTGATTTCGGAGAGCTTCGAAGACTAAGTGAGCTTCACATCACATCTTGCGACGAACTAAAAAGCCTTCCTGAGAGCTTTGGAAAGCTAGAGATGCTGAAGATCCTCAGGTTGAAGCACTGCACGAGCTTCAGGACGCTTTCTTGCAACTTTGGAGAACTGCCCAGATTGACTGAACTGAACCTCGAATCGTGTCCCATTGAGGACTCGGACTTGCCTCTTAGCTTCGGTAGGTTGAAAAGTCTGACCTCTCTTCTCATGCCTGACAACAAGCTGACCAAGTTGCCCAACAGTTTCAAGAATTTGACAGCCTTGGCCATCTTGGACATGAGACGAAGTAGGGACCTGGCTAATGTCGATGCGTTGCCTGCGTTCCTTGAAGAACTGGAGCTCAGTGGCTGCCGCCAACTGGTTTGTGTGGACCTCCAAGAGAAGGTGAAAAAGCTCAGAAAACTCAGCCTCTATAACTGCACAAGGCTAACTCAATTGCGAGGCCTGGAATCTAGTGAATGCACTGCTCTTGAGAAAATTGATGTCTATAGATGTCGCAGCTTGTCGCATCTGTATGAGGATCAGGTCTCCAACTCGAATTTGAGAGAATGTTACTTGAGTGGAAGTGGTGTGTGCCTCCCGTACAACAACGATTGGTCACAGGTACAGCACTTTCAGTCCACATTGTCTAACACACCCATCTCAAATGTTTGTCATCGCGCTATACACCTCAATCTTGTACAAGAAATGGGAAGCTATGATCATTTACAAGTTTATTTTGGCTTCCTTGAACTTACCCTACTAGATACTGTGCTGATGTCAGATCAGTGCGCCAAGTTGTCAAGTGATCAGTTACTACGACCATGCCATCGGGTTTGTGGAGAACACAATGATGAGGAAGATATGTTCAGTGCGAGATGCGAATGAGCTGTGCTTGGAGACGAGAATTTCGAGGAAGGAGTGCGGTATTGTGGTGGAAGCCGTGGTCATCACGGTAATAGCCCACGACAAAGGGTTTTTAGCTTTTTTCTGGGGCAAGTGCTCCGTGGAAGGACGAATTTTGCGATCTGATGTAGAGGTGTTCACCAGCGAGTTGTTCTCACTGCGACGTAGAGACCATCGGGACCAAGCATACATTTGCACCTTGAGAAGGTCTCACCCGCTAGTTGAAAGGCTGCAAGATGGAGACAGAGTGTGCGTGTTTGTTAGATCGTCCTACGATTTTGAGATCACGGTCATGAAGGGGAGCATCTTTGTTGCTTATAACCGGCCCGACCAGGGGTTGAGGTCAGACGTTCTCGGCGGTTTGGTTTTGAAAGATTGCGTGAGCAATACCCGGCATACGTTTCGAGCTGAGCCGTTTCCTCTTGTCCGTCAGGCTCTCACTCTTCCACTCTCTGATGGAAGGCTTAAGCAAATCATATCTGATCATGATTTCTCTTCATATTATGATGCGTTATCGAATTCCGATGGATCATTTGATACCGATGATTATTTTCATTTTTCCGCAAGTCGCGCTGTTTTTTTTCCACATAATAATTTAATTGCTTCCATTTTATCCAAGTGGGAATTGGTAAGGGTACCTGACGTGCCATCACTCACTGTCTTGGTTTAGAGTGCTGGTTTTATACAACATATATGATCCCTACATGAATGACAAGCTGTTAATGCCAGGGCCAAACGTATAAAGTAATCAAAAAAGAATTTTCCAGAGTCTGAGATGACCTTAGATGATGGAGTGAGTGATATGGTTCAGAATTGCTACCTACGTGGTCACAAGGTTCGAGTTATTGTTGTTGTGCCATCGTTCATTGTCTTGCCTTCGATGGGAGCTTGCACTGAGTAAGTGCCCCAAAAAATAGACTAATATGAAAGGTAGGCTTAGAATGTTATGCTGAGGGCGTGGTCTGTTTGGTAATTCAGTTCCTCAAAAACAACTGGACTAGTTTGTAGTAATGTGCGAAGGCATGATCTGATTATCCATTTACCGCAGCTTGCTATGCAGGTCGTGTGTTTCAACTTTGAATTTATTGCTCCCTGTGAGCTTTTGAGCTTTTATTGATCTGAATGGACTGTTTTGTGCAGGTGAATTCTATTTTGTACCGAAAATGTGATATGTGCGATACACTCTTCAAAGGTGAACGTGGTTGGCATTGCAACGTGTGTAATGACTTTGACATGTGTGAAACTTGCTTCAAGAAATCGGTGACTGAGAATGGGGAGTCTCCTCCTCCCCATCAGTTGGACCATTCCATGTCAGTTTTTCAGTCACCCAATCGACCTGAATTTGAACCAATTCTGATGCCGTATGAAAAGGGTATAGATTATTTGAATTGGGGGTATGTGGTGTACGAGTACCCAAATGTGCGGTGGTGTGAAACTTTTGAGTTTATTCGTTGAGACTTACAAGGTTCTCACTGCAGTGAAATGTGAGATTTTAGTCGTGACTATTGAAGGCAACAAGTGGATAACACAAGACAATAAAACCAATGCGATATTCATTTGCGTACAAATTGTTTAAATTTGTTTATAATTATTACATATATATCTTCAATAAAGAAAGAACAACATTGAAAAGAATTTCCATTTACAGAATAATTAAATGAACTACTGAAATTGTTACAACTTTTTAATTTTTTGTTATCTGATTAAAAATAAGATCACAAGAGGAAGAGACATTCTTAGGGATACGACAAGGTATGTCTCAGTAAATGCTATAATTTATGAAGAGGTTTAAGATGCTAGATAATTTACTAAGGAATGGAAACTGCATTGAAAGATATCGTAATATTTACCGTAAAACAAGAACAAGGATAATTTCCACCTAAAAAAGAGTTCAGAATACAGCAAAAACATTTAAAACTGAGAAATGAAAGTATAATGAAAGTACTGATGAATGCTGTGTTTCTATTTGATGATAGCAAAACTTCAATATCTTAGTTGATAATTTATTTATAATAATTTTGATATAAAGTTCTTTTCAGAATAAAATGAAAATCTTTGTTACTTGTGAGCATGAAGGAAAGATAGTATTCACAGATGGCCAAATCGACTGCACGTCCTTAAGAAGGCTTCGCTAATTTGCAGCTATGGAGGGTTGGCGTTGGACCTTTGCCTGGTGATGGAAGCAAAGGGACTCAAGCTCAACCACAACCACTGTCCCTGCAGAGTCTCACTTCCTGCAGAGTTTTGAGTGGACAAGGTAGTGAACAATCTAAAGAAAAAGTATTCTCACTAAGTGCCGATGAAACAAATTCCATCAAGGGAGAAGCACAAGAAATCCTCACTTCATGAACTGAGTCAAAAAACCCCTGGGGTGCGATCTCGAGTACAAGCTGATGGGAGAGAAGATGAGAAAAGAGTCAAATTTGAGGGTGGAAGAATTAGACAGTAATCCATTTGCTACTCTTGCTTGTGCACAGAGCAAGCAGATGGCTACAGACCCCACTTGAAGATCACCATCCTTCTCGAATTGTGAATTGAACCCAGTTGGCTCTAGTTTCTGCATGTGATCCAGTGTTAACAACTCTTGAGGTTCATTGCAAATGCCTAACTATCAAAACTGACATCAAGTCCAACCTCCGTAACAACTCACTTGGATGGGTGATTCAATGACAACCAAAAATTCTTACGAGTTGGGTCATGTGGTCTTCTCAGCACCAGGTATGTCAATCGTAGATCTGGTCGCACCTAAAAGCACGCTATTACTGGAAGCAGAGGGAGTGGAGTTTGTATACATCGTAGAGTCCCTGCTTAGTATAGTGCTGCTGGAGGGTAAAGATATGATGCTTGAGCTAGAGGGAAAGTTATGGGGGAGTGTGCTGAAGTCAGGAACGATCGATTCAAACCTCTTGTCCAAGCGGCTCTCTTCTCGAAGCTGTGTTAGCTCTGAAATTTCTGCGTCCATGTCACCTTGCATCATGGCTACCACACGGGCCATGGTGGGGCGCTTCTCAGCTGATATATGCAAGCACAGGAAGGCTATGTTGAGGATCCTTAGCACCTCCACTTCTTCGTGGACTTGAAGAGTGAGCTTCGGGTCTAAGAGTTGGAGAAGTCTGTTTCCGTCGCGTAACTTCCACGCCTGGCAACACAGCTCCCGTTAGTCAGCACTAAAATTTAAGAAGAGTCCACTTCTGCTGCACGAATTGAGAGATCCGTAGTCATTTTACTCACCCATTCCAGAAGATAGACGCGGTCCTCTGGCAACTTGGAGTCGATGTTGCGTCTTCCGCTCACAATTTCAAGAATCAGAACCCCGAAGCTGTAGACATCAACTTTCTCACTTAATTGTCCCAGAGTTGCGTACTCTGGGGCTAAATATCCTCTGCAAATGAAACGCCCGCAGTTTCATGAGAGGGAGGGAGATTCAAGTGTGAAGTAGATTGAGCAAATCGGACAGTCCAAAACAGTACTACTTATAATTCTTGAGGTATAAGGTCAATATCAAGCTGATTTGCTCAAGTGCTCACCTAGTGCCAGCGATATGTATAGTCAAAACGTTGCTTTGTTCAACAGGAAACAATAAAGCTAAACCAAAATCTGCAATTTTCGGTTCAAGATTCTTGTCCAGCAGAATGTTACTTGCTTTGATATCGCGGTGAATGATTCTCGGTTGAGTTAAAGAATGCAGGTAATGGATCCCGTGACCCACTCCAAGGCATATATTTCGCCGCACAGCCCAGCACATGTTGACGTTATGCGAATTCTCTGTACAAATGATAGATATGTATATACCACAAAAAAAAATTAAAAATTAAAAAAATAGTAAAGAATTTCAGAACAACAAAGACATGACACAAAAATTACTTTCCAAAAGAAGGAATGTATTACTGCTGATTGTTTTCGAAGAGCAACTCACCGAATAACAATTGCTCCAAATCGCCCAGTTCCACATACTCATGCACCAGGAGATACTCATGTTTACCAATACAACATCCTTTCAGTTTAACAAGGTTGCGGTGCTTGACAGCTGCAACGAGAACAATCTCGTTAAGGAAGTCATGTAGGGTTTGTTGGGACTTAGTAAACAGTTGCTTCACTGCAACTTGAGTTCCGTTTGGAAATGTACCCTGCAGACATGATAACATGAGAGGTTATAGCATTAAAATCTTTTCCCTCGTCATCCTGCCCATACATATACCCACCTTCAAGCGCTTGGTTTAAATGCAAATTAACGATTACACCAATTCTTGCAACGTCTCCAATTGCGGGGGAAAAGCAACGCTATGGAATTAAGTGTCAACGGCTGGCCAGTGAGCATACCTTGTAAACCGCACCGTAATGTCCACTTCCAAGCCTCATTTCTGGATGGAAATCTCCAGTAGAAGCTCGAATCTCACTGTAGGTATATATAGTGGGCTTAACTTCATAATCCGCAAATTCTGCAATCAGTGACATCACTCACAAGTCGGTTAGTAAACAGAAACTTCTGTGTCCTAGTAGCTACTGAACGACAAGATTGTGTACAAATAGAGTCCCAGAAAAGCCAGAAGGATAATTTTTGGAAGAAACTGTACTTTGGTTAGCTTCGCATATAAGCTTCTTCCGCTCTCTCCTGCTCTGGCAAAATAGAGCAATGGAGACCAGACTCACAAACACAGTAACAAATCCGCTGACAACTGTCGCAATGATAATGACATTCTTGTTATTCTTTATATTTCCTGCCATTTGGAAAATCACACTGGTAAATGCCTAAGTATAAATGTGGCATCTAAGTTTAATTAAATGACCAGTTCTAAGAGTTGATAAAATTCTTAATTTGTGAGTTGGAATCAGAATCTCTCAAACCAAAGATGCACTGCAAGCTGCGTGTGTAGGCTTGTTGGGATATAAATGTTACCAGTATAAAAGCATGTCTGCTGACAAACACAACGTGTTAAGTCGTCGTCGTCTTGGTTCACGGCCAAGTCACAATATGGATTGCCTGAGAGACTGCGTGAATTGAAGTGTCAAATTATCCGTTAGCAAGGGTTAACTACTGAGATGCCTGTAAATATTTTGATACGGTCCACAATTGATTCATTTCCTGTTCGTTCCACTCTTCATACCATCTCCAATTTAACCGATGCCAAAAAAATCCATTGACGAACACATATAACAAACCCTCGGGTGATGTATGAACTCACTTGAATTTGACGTTGAGGTCGTTAATGTGACCAGAATAAGCAACATGCGAGATGGAGTTGTTTCTTAGGCTAATTATCTGAATTTTCCGGCTAAGGTTAGGCGCAGCGAGTATGCGACTAATGTCTAGAGTCCCTTTCAAATCGTTGAAGTCCAGAAGTCTGCAAATAGTTTCAAATGTTTCACATGAGCCTAGAGTTTTTCATGTGCATAAGGAATGAAAGCAGTCTATTGGCATTAAGGTAGTTTTCATCCTTGTTTTTGGTGCATAGTACCTACTGCATGACGAAAATTGAGAACGCGTTGAAATCTTACAAAGTCGTCAAGCTCTCGGAACCAGCTAGGACAGACCAAGGAACATCTCCAGTGAGGGAGACTCCTTGCAGCTTCCTGGTGACACCATGATTGTTAGGAGCATATCAAATTCAATAAAAACAAAGCCCTCAAAGATACCATGAAATCTTCTATTGACATTTGACTGGATTGGAGAAACTCACAACGTGTGAAGGCTCTTGAGTTTGCCAATCCAATCAGGAACTGGCCCAGGTGTGAAATTGTTGTAGCTCAGATCTCTGCATACAAGAGAATAGCAGGATTGAAAAACCATCTCCCACCCAGCGGACTCATTTGAGCAATTGAAGAGGTTCGGATACAGAGCTCGTCAAATGAACTTACAAATATTCCAATTTGGTTAAGGAGGTTAAATTAGGAATGGCGCCTGTGAATCGATTCCTTGAAAGGTCCAGCTTTGTTAACGAGGAGATGTTGAACAACAAGGCTGTATCAAGTTTTCCGGAGAGCAGGTTCCCACTCGCATTGCTGCAGAAGATATCACAGTTAACTCTTCATTTCTGGGGCCGATGTGATAGAAACAAGGTGACAAAGCAACACGATATTACAATATGACAATTATTCATGAGGTGGAGAGTCGACTCACAAGGTCCGAATCGTTTTGAGCCCCGACATTGTTGGAAAAGACCCATTGAGTTTGTTGTCTGAGAAGTCACTAAAGCATCGAAATTTAACACATTAGATTTCAGACCCTCGCAATGATGCACAAGATCTCATCCCAGAAACCAAATTTACGATTAATGCTGACTCTTCTATCAACTGGTCACCACCGCTCTGCCGATATTATCAGTCATGCCAAATGTAAACGAAACTTAATAGAAACCTACGGCCATGAGGCACCGAGTTTCTGACATTGATTTTAAAAAATCCAGCATACTTACAGCTCTAGAATCTTAGTTTGGTTCGGAGACACCAACGTTGGGAGGGCACCAGTGAATTCATTGTGGGACAAATCCCTGCAAATAATGTCACAAAATAAACAGACTGCTCGTTTCACATTGTAAAACTGATAAAAAAATATCGAACAATTAATCTTTGAAGTTTTGATGTATACAGCTTGAATCTGAAGTGACATTCTTACGCAGAAACTAGGTTTTTAAGATAGAGCAGAAACTTGGGAGGTATGGACCCAGAGAACAGGTTCTTGGAGACATTCATCGTTTGAATGGTACGGAACGAGAAGTTGTTGTTTTCCGGAAGCTGGCCCTTCAATTGATTGTCACTCAAGTCACTGCACAATCATTGATAATGTTTAATTATATAATATTTGAATTCGCGCCGATTTCTAAACAATCTGCACATGATATGTTTCTTGTATTGTTATGAAAAAGCTCTAGACTTACATTGCTTGAAGGAACCCAAACGCGTCGTAGAAGAACCTAGGTATGTATCCAGTGAAGCCATTTCCATGAAGATCTCTGCAAATTTTGTAATGTTAGGAGCCAAACAGACACAATAGTAGTAACCAGTACGACTGCAGTTAGTGAACAGGACAATGAAGCTCAACATTTAAGTGGCTTACAGTTCAAACAAGCTTTTCAAGTTGCCGAGTTCTTCCGGGATGGCACCAGTAAGTCCCCGATTCTCCGTTAGGGTTCTGCAAAGCGCAACAACCAGCTCAACAGAAGCTAAGGGGGCAATATAAACCCCATGTGTGCACTCTACATATTAAACTCCTTGGAAATGACAGGGTGACTTGTTGCACTCCACACCGCAGAGTAAGATGCTTATGAACATATGCAGCCCAGGGTTAGTCGTTCCCAACTCACAAGGTGACGAGGTTGGTGAGATTTCCAATGGCCGGCGGCAAAGAGCCAACAATTTCGGCGTTCCGCAGCGCCCTGTAATCCATATCATGAGAAACGTAGCAACCAATAGTAGCCGCATTATGTATTTCAAGCCTCCCCTTCAATCAAAGAAGACATATTAAAGAAAACTTATGTACAACTTGCTTAACCTCCTAGAAGTGCCCACGACGTTTGAAAAGAAAAATTCTTACAGGCCAACGATCTCAAACTTCCATGCGTTTCCGTCAGACATGGATATCTGCTTGGCGTTGCAAGAAACTCCTCGCCATGGACTGCTCGGTTTGCACGGCGGTTGCATAGCGGCATGGTCATTCCATCCTGCTAAGTTGGTATCAAAATCTGGATTGGTCTTGTTCCATTCGCCCCAAAGTTGCTCCATCGCATACACTGCAGTTAAGTAATAGGAAGCGTCATCAGTGTGTGTGACTATGCGATGTGATCTCTTGCTCGTGCACACAACAAAGCTGCAAGAGACACCGAAAATCTGTTGAACCTTTGCATTCAGCGGCTTTACTCAGCGACTTACAATCGGTTGTATTGTACTCATTCTGATCCTCAGCAGCGACCGAGCTACTGCAAAGGTGAAGGCATAACAGACCCAGCAGAACCTTCACAGCAGTTGTGCGTTTCTCCATCTTGCTGCGAGCTTCGCAGTCTAGAATAAACTAAATGCTCTACATGAAGAGATTGAAGGCAACACAAAGATCGTGACGAAAATTCTGAAAGCGTAGATACGAACATCACTCCCACCAATATACTACACATCCTACGACGCCCATCAATCATTTTCCAATCAGAAGAATATGCTGAAAAGGGTTGGTGTCCGAGTTTTGTCTGTAATCCTCTGCATTGAGTCCTGGTCTCTTCCTCAAGGGAGGTGGGTTGGAGCTAATCTTTCAGGAAGTTGTCAAATTCCTCGAAGTAGAAAACCTGACGCCAACTGTCATGTGAATCGCAGGATAATGCTCCGAAGTCCACTCTATGCAGGTGATCGGTTTTTGAAGTTGACCGAACACATGTTCCGCCAGAGAGCTGACTAAAGATTTCCAGCCACTTCAGGGTACCAAACCCATCAGGAGCAGATACTTAGACATAATTTTCAACATTATGGTTTTGATCCATCATATAACATGCAGAAATCGCTGAGGCTGCCGAAGGACGCACATACTCTGCAACTGTAGTGCTGCAGCCCTTACTCGAGTCAGACTTAATTCTCCAGATGCCGGCCGAATTCCAAGCTGTAGATCGCGGAAGAATATTCTTAAAATTCACTTCAATAAATCTGCAAAAATTATCGAATACCACAAAACCCATGTATTTCAAACGCTGAGTATGATTTGTCGGGAATTGGCTGTAGTGAAGAACCTCTAGGCCTCATCACCACATTCAAAGAATTAACTAATAATGAGGTTACGATTACTGAACCAATCTGGGGTGCATCAAGAGAGTCCCTTACCGACAACACCGGATTCTGGGACAATCATTAACGCTTCATTGTGCTCGTTATTCCTAACCTACGGTGAATCAGATACTACCTCGAAGCGGGTGAAGTTGGAGCTTTACCTCCAGTTTACTAGACTTTGACGTCGTCAAGACAGGAAAAGGTCGCCGACGGAGCCAATTGCCAGGCTATGCAATTTACGAGAATGTCCCACCATATATACTACGAGGGGCAAAGAATCCACGAGCACGTACCAAGGAAGATGGATTAACGTACATACTGGAAATTCACGGGTCCACACTTGATGAACTCGGGTGTAGATACTTTGTTTCAAAATGAGGTGCAATTACCTCCAATTCAAAGACTTTTAACTCAGAAATTCACTCACATCAAACCCACGTCAATGCAGTCCCTTACCACAAGCACCTTAGTTTCTAGCATCTTGAATTAAGTAAACGTTCATTCACATTTACCGCTCTGGGATAACTATTCAGTCTTACCTCTTCTGCACCTGCCAAAGGAATGGAAAGTTTCAGTGTGGCAAAACGCACGGCTTAGGCGTGGCAAAAGGCATGTATAGATTCTAGAACACGATTTCCATGCCGTGAGATTCAGTGTGATGAGTGAAGCGTTTCGTCACAATGCAAGCACACTGTTTATCCCCGTTGTCTGCGACGAGTTGTCAGAGTACCAAGTGGTCGCTGGAGTCTACACTGTGGCCGAGATTCATGCAGACTGATTGAGTTCAATGAGAGGACGGCACGGAACTTACACAGCAGATTCATTGGAACTTGGATGTGAAAGGTGACCCTCACGCATTGCTTTTGAAAGCGACTGTAATTTTTGGGGCTTCGGGCCCACCGATCAACTTGCCAGTGCTCAGCGTGTGTGTCGATCACTTGCTGACCAGTCAGCGTAGTCAGTAACAACCATTCTAATCACCACATGCCGTGACTTTCATTGACGTTGTGAACGCCAACATTTATACTCTGGCCTCAGAGAAGTGACCTGTCAAATTTGCAAAAAGTTTGGCAATTCACAAATGAATGACCGTGAACCATTACTTTCAACAATTTTCTCACACGATTATATCATTCTGAGGGGTAGGCATGGCAAAACGAAGTTAGATTTACCCACAGCGTGTAGTTTGACACCTTTTCATGTCCAATATGGATCATAACTGAACGATTGAAGCTGTTGTTGAGTAAAGAGTCTGATGTATATTTTGATGAATATAAAAGTACAGTCTAATTACATCTATACACGATGAAGTATCTGGACAATTGAAATAACCATCATGAACACTGGATGGTGTCCACGGAATGTGCAACTTGCGTTAGACTGCATGATTTCAGAGTCTACGCCATGACGTCGAAGAAACAGAGCTCTGCGTCGCATTCACAGAATGTAGAGAACTTGTCGGTAAATCTGGAAGACATAGGACATTCTCTTATTCATCAATGATACCTTATTCAAAACAGATTCCAGCTCGATGCCTAGCTTCAACGATGTTGACGCAACATGGTAACACGTACCAACAAACCCATCAACTGTTGATTATCAAGAGTGATGCTTGATACCCTAAAATGTAATTTTGTAACCGAAATAGCTCGAGATACTTACTGCATGGAAGTAGGAGAAAAAATACTTGTTTATGAAGCTGTGACTATATCTTTTACATAATTTCCCGACAAGAGTGGTCAATGCGAGTTATTTTCAAGAACAGGCTAGAAAGTGATGAAAGCAAACCTCGGAAGAAGGATCTATCAGTTAATCTTTCAATGCAAATTGCGACAGTGACAGAGAAACTAATTTTCGAATCTTGGAAGATGACTTGCATGTCATTACGGCCTCCTGGAGTAAGGATGGGCCGAGGCGCTCTGTCAAAATGAACCTCATCCACTGCCCCTCAAACTTTTGGAGAACCGTGAACATAAATTTTCCCAGGACCGTAGATCACTTTGCCTCATGTCGCATTGACTGCAAGTCATTGACGTCGTCGATCTTTGCGCACCAGACAAGGTACATCACAGATGTTCTGTTCGTCTGGAAATGATCAGCGCTCATCTTGTGTCAGCTCCAGTGGATGCACGTCGCTTACTATCTCATCGTTGTGACGATTCAAATGACGCTGGTACCGACGACTTGACGAGACGAGACGAGACGAGACATAATTTGCTGCATCAATTAAGTCGCAAGATATTAAGAACGAAGCAGAAAGTCACAGCAAACGGTGGCGAAGTGTACTATGAAACCACCTCAAAGTAACTATGAACCGCATGATTGTTTGTCAACGTATGGCTAATTCAGTACGACCAGTTGCTTACTCTGTCGAGACTACGGAGGAGATGTGAATGATCAAAAAAATTGTTCTTGAGAACAAACGGCAGATGTTTTTGCACTCAACAATTCCCGCAAGTCACTCTGGTCAAACTCATGAAATCAGATGAAGTGATCAAGATCTTTACCAAATTAGTGGTAGAGTATGAGCGAGAAGCGCAGAGCGTTAAATGAAGAGTGCGATGTGTAAAAGTGAAGAAGGACAAATCTGTTCCACACCATCACATTTATACACATCAGGTCGATTCGAATTAGAGTTTCAGACGTTTGTCAATCCAAACAGATCCCACATGAATCATCATCTCTATTTGGCCACTAGAGAGAATCAAATGTGCCAAAACTGCACCGAAAGCTGTCGAACGTACAGACTTCTGTGAGTAGTTGGAACAGTTCAATGTGTTTGAAGCCTTTACATCAATCATCGTGGCTATGGCACACTAGTGACCGATTAATTGGTGCAATAAATAGTAATGCTACATGCAGGATACTCACCATCTAAGTGATAAAACTCATGATCTCTCTGTGAACTCACGCTCACTGAACTTGTGAAATTGCTGTTCAAAATTACAAGCACATCCCGGCAGTTGGATTCCAAGAGAAAGGAAGCCATGAGTGATTTAATTGATTTCTACAGTTGGATCAGACTTTGATTGTTTAAACGATTATTAACTACTTTTAGTCTGAAGAATACTGTCAGGTTTCAAGCTTTCAAACTAAAACCACATTAAGAAAAAACCTACAACAGCTGTCTTGAAAATTACCAATCATCATTTGTTTTTCCTCATGCTTCCACTTAGCACCACTTTTACACTAAACAATTTACAGCTATATTTGTACGCACTTCTTAACACTAATCACAAAAAATAAATTTGAAAACAATGAAAAACCTAATTTCTTAGCAACGACTCTTGTGATAATTTTCTCCACCCTTTTCAGTTACGGCACATGAGTTCAATTCACCGCCCACGGCAGGCTTTCAACATCGTCGTGATCAACCAGACTCTGCATTCGATTCGACATTGAAGGTGTGATCTTGAGAGGATTGATTGTCCTTCTCTGGATTTCGATCGCATTTGAATCGAAGCTACTCATTTAAGGTAAAATTCTAGGGTTTTCAGCTGCTAATGTGAATATGCGTCACAAAAAGTACTTTCCCGATTGCATGTGGCAGCATGGAAGTTTAATCCATAGTGTCTCCGCAAATCAACCTCTCAATCCAGTGTGAGAAGTAAGTCAATTGTCTTCTATCGAGACAATTGACACAATCTTTTCAGGTATCTGATATCAGAGAGCGGTAATCGTGACGAAGATCAATCAAGCAAGCTGAAAAATCTCGAGCTTGCTCTCCGATGATGACTTCCAATCTTCAAGAGAAGCTTCTGATTGCAAAGTCGATCGGATTGTGAATGCGTTAGATGCCATGGCTTTGACATATATTACATAAAACTTCCTTACTGCCGCAGTTTCGAATCACTAATATTCACAAAGTGATTCAAGACTCCGAGGTTCGTTTGGACGTGTCTAGGAATCTACGAAACTTTTTTTGACATTAAGCGTGGACATCGTTTCAACGTTGCGTGTAAGTACTAGGGCAGGTCGGTGCTCGGTATGTGTTGCTTTTTCTCAAAGCAGGGCAATGGCTGCCGAACGCTTCAATTGTATGCAAGGGAAGAAGGCGTGCCTGAGGCAATTTGGAGTGTGGGAGCATTCTCCACGGGAACAATGCTTCATGCCATATTCTTTGGCATACTACCCTTCAAAGAGCATCTGATAGAAGAGTGTGCTGGTCGAATAGACAGGCCGTTTGATGCAGATGCATTAGCAGGGTGCAACTTTAATTCTATGAGAAGTCATCCGCAAGAAAAAGAGCGTCTCAATGTGCACTGTCATGTTCTCCGTTCCAAAAATTTGGGTTGAACGGGGCATTGTATTCTGGGACATACATATCCTTCCGAGTCCGGAATTCTGTGGAATATTGTACAGAAATGCTTCATCTTAATCGCGACTATTCTTCAAATCGAATTGCAGGCTCTAAGCTTATTCCTACGTACTCCCTACTCTAAACACAACGACGCAGCTGCGTAATTCTACATTGTCCGATTACCTTGACTTCGGCTGCATCCTCCTCTTCCTCTCTACTGAACCATTAGGTCCATATAAATCTTGGTACAAGGGCCGAATCCGCAAAATCAAGACCACGTTAAGTAAGATGCCAAATGCGCACATACCGGCCATGACGATGAACACCGACCGAAAGCAGTGGGAGCCAACGCACTTGGGCGGATCAACCGACTCTCCCAGCGCTACAAAATCTGCTGCAGTCGAGAATATTTTCTTAACCAAGATGGTAGAGAGATGAGGCACTTTGGAGGCTTCCCTATCGTACAACCAGCCGGCTAGCATGCCGGAGAAGAGGAAGGACCCCAGGGGAATGTTTAGGATGAGAAAGTTGTACAACATGCCGAAGTGCTTCAAGCCGAAAAGCTCAGATGCTGTTGGCACAGTGATAGAGATGTGCACGCCGTAGCAAATCCCCACTACGATGGAGCCCACGTAGAGAGAGCCTGGGGCTGCCATGGCGAACATAATGTAACCCATGAGGAGGAAAATTTGCGAGATCGCCATCCACAATGGGCGAGGAATGGCTGCCTTTCTGCAAATTCACCAACAATTCAAATTAGAATTTGATTAATTACAACAAAATAGCTTGCAACCACCGTAAAAATTCGCCCGCGCATCCTACTTGACCATGAACTTTCCCAAACCAAAAACGCTATACCAAACTTTAAGGAAACAAATGAACTCAACAACAAATTTCAATACCAGGTTGAATACTGTTAAATTTAAGGAGAACGGTCCGAGTTGAGGACTAAGGGTCCTATCAAATTGGATATACTTTGGATCCGTTTCAACTAACCGTCTGGGTTCAATGAAACTAGGTTACAACAAGGTGAAAGACGAAGATAACTCTGGGGATCAAACAGTCTCGCATGAAGAATTCTTAATAGAAGGGATAGGGAGACTTACTTGACGTAGTACTCGGAGACAGCACCAGCACCGACACGACCGAAGAAGCCCCAAATGCTGATAAGCGAGATGAAGATAGAGACGTCTGCGAATCCCTGAGCCTCTCCAATCTGACCCAAGTTGTTGATAGCCGTGATGCCGGTACCAATACCGCATAGAAATGTGAAAAAAAGCAACCAGAACTCAATCGTCAATAATGCTTCTGTCAGGTTGTGGTCTTCACCAAGGGATGGAAACTTATATTCTTCGACGCTCTTCGACACCTCACGATCGTCAGCGGTTGTAGCGTCCAGTTTTGAGTCGGCTCTGCTGCCCTTCTCTACTTGTGTAAGAACACCTTGAGATGCGTCTGTTTGAGGTACCACGTTGTCTGATGTTTCCTCCAGAAGAGGCTTCGTGATTGCGGTGGCGTCGGGACTCACGGGGGAAGATTTATCGTCATTGTAAATACGGAGAATAAGCTTGAGAGGAACCACCAGCGGAGCAATTAGGAAGAGCAGAAGCACCACCGCGAACAACTTAAACTGCAATGATGATAGGGGGAAGAAAAACTCCAGCACGGTGAAGGTGAGGAGGTACAGGGCGAGCGCGAGAGAGATCCAATTGATAATCGTGAACCCAGCCTGCTCCTCCACGTCTTCGTCATGGCTGGCAGATGCTGGGACTTCGGTCAGGAAGATGATGGCAGAGCAGCATACGATCGCGGGCAGGATGGTAAGTAGGAGCAGAAACGATGACGCCTCACTTGTGAAGAGCGCTGTGCAGAGCTGCGTGAAAATGGCAGTGCTCAAGCCGATGTATCCCTTGAGCGTTCCGGTAACTGTCCCACGGCTTCGAGGAAAATTGCGCATGCACGTCACGAGAACAGCAGTGTTCATCCAAGTGGTGCTGTTACCTCCCATGCACAAAACGACGCACATCTGCGATAGAAGCCCCACACAAAACCGCACCTCAGCATTTAAACCTCATGTTCATGGCATACTTAGCAGCGAAAATAACAATGATGGTGGCTCCAAATCACAGTTGTACTCTCATAAACGTCTTATTTTCTTCCATCCACACAAGCATCTCATCACAATAACGACAACACCAACAACAAAAACAACAAACTCAACATATTCAAGAACCACAGCATAAAACCTTCCAGAAGAATCAAATATCTACTCCTCAACGTCCTGTTACCCTCAAAAAACGATAGCAGAATGAGGTGCATTTGTCAGAAACAGCAGCATCCGAGGTCGCATCTCACATTCGTCTCAAGACCACAATCGATAACATGGACTGAGACATATGTTTTCTTAACCATGTTGAAAGAAAAGTCTGAGCCAAGAGTGGAGCCAAATATTTACACACCTGCCAATAGGACGGAGGTCTGATAGTCTGACTCACGACGAGGTACTGCGTACCATAGCCGACAGCGCCCTCAACAGCACCTATCAACAGTATGAGCCAGGTGGGGAGACGATCCGCCAGCAAGCCCGCAAACAACCCGAACGACTTCCCCACGTCTTTCGCCACTCCCAAATTGTTGAGCTGCACCTGGTTGTAGTGCATCACGGATTTAAGCTCCTGAGAGTAATTGGCGAATGTGTAGTTGTTCCCCGCTATGGATTGCACCCATATTGCTGTCACAAATCCAACCCATTTCCTGCTAATCCGCGTATACCTCGAGTCAACCATTGCACCTTCCCGCAACTCTCACTCGCTCAAACACACTACCACTCACCCCTACTCACCCCAACCTCCAAGTTCCGCGACACGCTCCGAATTCGCCGCCCTCAAGAATCATAACAACATCGCACCTCGGCGAAGCTATAAATCTCTCACGTTACGATCAATTGCCTCACTAAAGTAAAAGTACCCAAAAAAGAAAAGTCCAAGCCTGAAATAAACGAGTTGGTAACGACGCCGACCATGAGTGTGGATAAAGATCAATGGGAGAAAAGTTGATATCTCAAGCTTCGAAGTGAACCAGAGGCAATGACGAGTCAGCCAGGGATTGATACGATGGCCTCTACGATTCTGCCGCAACGAGTAGCAGCCTGATTGCTGGCAGACTCAAGCTACTCTTCTCTAACGAACCCCTCAGTTCCACGCCCAGGTTCCCCTCGCAAGGGGGCGGCAGATGATTTTTCTTTGACTTCTCTCTCCCTTTCACGTGAGAAGACCATGGCCCCAGAAACACTTTTCCTTAGTGAACGCAGACCATTTCCAGCTCTGGAGATTACGAGTCCAAATGCATGAGGGTGGTGCAGTTGGGGAATGGAAAACGGTCGGAGACTTGGAATGAGGGTCCCCTGCTCTTCTAACGGAAACTGCAAGAAGCCCCTCAAAACCATCCTCCGTCACAATTCCCGCGCACCATTCATCCAATCAATGCACTAAACTCAACACAATAGTGATGAGAATTGACGGCCACACTTTTTGTAAGCCTCACCTAACAAAACCGCCTGTCTGGAAGGGGAGGTGTAAGAGGAATATTCTGGGTAACAGCGACCATCTTCTAGAGCAACCATGCATTGATCCATCCAGAATCATCGAGACAGATTCCCCCTCCCCTTGTTGTAGTGGAAGCGCAACCGTGACTTGTTGCCTAATTTGTGGATCGTCGATCCCAATAATGCCCCCATATTCTCTCGCGGCTCAGCGGGCGAGACCGACATGGTTCTAAGAAAAGGCTTCGTTCACACGGGCGATAACATGGGCGGTACCCATCGCAAGTGTTTCGAAAAAAAGCGGTGGTGGTAAGTGGCTCCCCTGTTTTGTACTTTCGCAGTACTTGAGTCCCCCTCCCTTAAATAGGGTTACTCCGAACCTAACCTGGTTTGGTTACGCCGCAAGAGACAACGCCCAATACACTGTCAACATTTTTCACACAAAAGGCTATGAACCAAGGCCTGTGCCAAGTCAGCTCGGGTGCCTGGCCAGCTCATCGAATTCACTGCCACTTGTGTCGGCCAGATGGCATAATTTGATGTGCCGCGTGGCTTAACGATATAAATGGGAATCCTTTTTGGGGATTTGAATGATGGGGGCACGGAAATAGAGAAGCCTTTTTGTTGGTTACATGGCATACAAAAGGGCTCTCATATTTCCAATTGTGCGTGTGACTCTTCACTCTAAAGACAACCCATATTATTTTATTATTATTATCATTATTGTTAAGCCTTTTGGACCCCTTCGTTCTCGAGTTCCATCATAACTTTTGCTCATAAAGTACTTAAATTGAGAGTACAGAATTCTAAATGCAAATAACTCTTAGACACAATGGATTTAATCAACTTTATATTCATTGTCATACACAAATATCTTAAATGGTCCTTTATATTGACTTTCATTTACAAGTGTTTTTTTCGTAAATCGTGCTTACAACTTGTTAAATAAAAATGAATTGTAGTATATAAACTTGTATTAAAAGTGTTTTCAAATGATACAATAGCTGTCCACCCAATAACGATTTGATACAATACAAGTGTGAAAACAGGATTTTATTCCTTCTTCTTTTACTTTTTTAAAACTTTTTCCCTCTAAACCCACGCGCCCACTTGACATTCAGACACATGAAAAAGTTCCCCTAAAATTACATTTAGTTTCATCTCCAAAACCTCGCACCATATTAACTCCCGAAATTGAAACCCTAATTAAACTCCATACATTGAATGCGATTCATGCCTCTTGTGTTGGTGAGGCACTGAGCAGCCCAACCAAGTCAACAATATAAAATAAAATATTCAAATAAAAATCTAAGCCTTCAAAAGAAGGACACTTGGCGAACCAGGAAGCAATCCAGCTCAGCTGTGTTGGGGGTAAAGCGTGATAGGGCTCCACGTAACGAGACCACGTCAGATTGCAGTGTGCGACAAGTGGCATCACATTAAGGTGTTTGCTAATTACTGTTCATTTATTTTAAACTTTTTTTTTTGTTTTTCCTTTTGTTTTTCCTTTTGTTTTTTCCTTTGAGCTTTTTGCTGTTTGATTTAGCACTTTTTAGGGTGACCCAATTTAGACAACACTTCAACCCATTTCACGTGAACACTTAGTAGAGTTCCAAAATGGTATTGTATTGTTTTTAATGTGAATGAGGTACATACACATATACATTCAAACATACCAAAGTATTAATATCCACTTTTGGCATTCTTTTATTTTAGAGGGTCTTAATCCCCTTCGGTTCTATTTGCCTCAAAAAGGATCCGGCAAAGATTTTTCGCCACTTTGACGGGCTGCCCAGAAGCCTCAGAAGGGCAGTTCATGTGGCTGACTTGGCTTGACTTGACTGGAAAGTTCGCTTCTTAATGAATGGTGTGTGGTTGTTGCTCCTTTGTAGGGTTAGGAAATCACAAAAAGTGGAGTTGGAGTTAAGTATTTTGTTCACTTTCTACCATGACCTTTGTGGAATTTATTACTTTGTTTTTTTGTTCTTGATTTTTTTTTGGGTATCAGTAATCTGCTTCATGCATGATTGCGTAACATGGGTACATCTAAATGATTGTTTCACCATATGCTTGAGTGTCAAGATACCCTTTGTAATGGTGCCTCACTGAAAAGCATCTCTGTCACTTTCCATTCATTCGGTGTGGACTTTGTTCAACTTTGGTGGCGTAAGTGGTGATGAATGGAACTATGAATCACGAATAACACTCACAATCGATAATGCATAAAACTCACAGTCAATTATTCATAAAACTCACGAAGTGCAGTTCATGATCTGTTGCTCTAGTCGAGGAGGTAGCTGCCCCTTCCAGTTTTTCTATAGCCAGCAGATAGCGGCTTTCGCTGAACCAAAGCTAGTTGCATGAAGAATATTGTACAGAACAACTTTCGGATGATTACCGATTATTCTTCGCAAGTGGGTGCAACTGAAGCCTCACAACTTGAATGGATTCTCAGAACCAATAAAGAGAATGACCAGGAATTGTGCCTGGGATATAATCAGAATTTACTGAGCTGACGAAAGGGAATTCAAAAAGCCACCAGTGAGAGTGGTAAGGAAAGAAAGTGATAGTAACAAAGACCACCACAACACAAGAGCTGGATCTGACCAAGAATGTCGGCATGTAGGCACGGACGCATGAAAGCTGGAATCAAAAAAAAAAAAAAAAACAACAACAACAACAACAACAACACTCTGTACAAGGTACTAGTAGTTTATTAAAATATGTAAGAAAGCAATCTGTAAGACGGATGTGGAAATGTCAACTAATGACCAGTGGTCCATACCGTAACTGGTCCTGTAAAGACAAATACATGTCCACCGCAATGGACTATGGAATCAGGGGTTAAATTTTGCCAAAGCGTTTTACTGGACAACAGAAGACATGTTCAAAAGACGCCTTGCAATGAAGAATTGCCCTTCCGGGCGAGAACCCTAGCTTTACTAACTATCAGCTGAGGCAATCGTGGCTATCACTAGCAACTACACCAGTAAGCTCTGCATAACAAACAACACTAAACTAATTTCTTTAAAAAAAAGAAAAAAAAAATAGAGAAAAAAGAAAAAGAAAAAGAAAACTTTGGTTATTTACAAAACCGCAATTTACCTATAGCCATACTGTTGCTGTTGGTTTGGGTAGCCTCCCATACCCATATGTAACATTGATCCCATCTGGTTCATACCCGTTCCCATCTGAGGACCCATACTCATGCCCGGCGAAATGCCTATATTAGAACCCATGCCCATGCCCATGCCCATGTTGAAGTTCATGGCACCAGCCTGTTGAGGACCCATGCCCATACCTGGTCTTGCCATTGTGGTCGCAGGCATAGGAGGAGGTAGTCCACTGGCCCCTGCTCTACCAAGGCCAGTGCCGGATCCCATAGCTTTACCCATAGGCTGTCCCATCCCCATCCCAGATGACGATGCAGGCTTTTTTTGGGCTTGCTTCGGGTTGTCGGCACCCCAAAGCTCGTTCTTTAGAGTAGGGTCTGTCAACTGAATTCCGAGGTCGTTTAGAGGATTTACTTTCGCTGCACAACGAAATAATCCTTATCAGTTGCAAGAAATGGTGTGAAATACAAATCCAACTAGTGACAACAGAAAAGAGAGGTTAGTGAAGGAAAAGATAACAGGATCTCCATATGGCAGCCACCGAGAGGAAAAAAATGACAAGGATGAAACTGGTTTTGACCCACATGGACGTAAGAAAACCAGACAAAATTAGAGTGAGATTGAACAAGAGTAAGAGTGCTCACGTCCTGCGATGTTGAGATCAACAAGGCCCATGCTAAGTGTGTCTCCCCAAATGGCAGACTTCACTGGTCCGAATTCCTTTCTAGCTGGTTGCTGTGGTTTTGGTGGTTGTTCCAAGTGCTGTAATTCTTGTGGCGCTGAAGCGGATCTATTTATGCCACCCATATTCTGTGAGGCTCCATAATAGGATTGATTTACACTGGATGCTTGGGTCATGCCGCTGAACGATTGATTTCGAGGGAAACTCTGGTTGTTGCCAAAGCTTTGCCCGGATATATGAGAAAATCCATTGTTGTTAGTAGCCGGGTCAAATGGAGTCGATGGGTGCCCGAACATATTTGCATTCAAACCATTGGGCACTCCTGGTGCACCATGACTCTGGAAGGAGTTATTTCCGAAGTTGCTAGCAGGGGCAGCTGGCGGTTGATAAACAGGAGGGGGTGGGGGTGGAGGGCCCAGTTGGAACGACGATCCACCAAACGGGTCCGAAGCTACTGCAGGGGCAGCAGAAGCTGGAGTGGATTGAAAAGCTGAAGCTCCGAACCCATCAGATGCACTAGAAGGAGTCACAGAAAATGAATCTCCAAACAAATCATTTGCTTGCACCTGCATCACCAGATAGATGTACAAGTAAGCGCAAACCAGATCTACGTAACCTGATGAAAGTGGTAATACTCAAATGAGGAATTCTTGCAATATGGGTATTTATGAGAAATGAGTGCATCACGTCAATAAGTAAAACAGGAAGTACACAAACAATAAAACAGAAAAATTCACAATTTAAAACCCCAGTAATAGCTACCGCGTTGTTCGAGAAGAAATTGGGAGGCGCTGGGGCGGGAGTGGTAACAGAAGTTGAAACAGGAGCTACATCAAAACTACCACCGAATAGGTCTTCAAGGCCACCTAAACTTTTTTGCGCTGCTGGAGGAAGTTGTGCTTGTGCAGGAGGTGCAGGGGGTGCAGAAGTTGAATCGGGGAATAAAGATAGATTTCCTGATTCTGGAAAGAAATTCTCCGTTGGCTGACTTGCTGTAGAGGCTACAAAATCCACAAGGATTCAAATTGAGATCCAAACAAATTTTAATTTTAAAGTTTTTGGAAATAAAAGATAAAATAAAATCTCAGCATCATGCTATAGTCCATAAGTTCACTTGATGTCCAAAAGAATACTAAGGAGCGACGTTGGATGCAGTCACCACAACTTTAAGAAGAACGGCAACTTAATGTGACACATACAGTGTACCCGAGTCAACCCCTCCAAGGTGTTCTTCAAAATAACAATTAAGTACAAAAAGTAAAAAAATAATAATGCAATCAGCCCGTTTTCTTGCTTCACATGTTGAACACAAAGACTAATGCGATCATCTGGGCTTGGACATTGGAAACTACTTTCTACCCATTCAATCTAGTTGCAGAACTTGTGAACATTATGATGAAATAATACTCACCAGAAGCTGAGTGGCTGGTTCCGCGAGGGTCAAAATCATCAAAATCATCGTCTGCCGTTTGGCTTGCATCAAAAGAGCAATTTGCACTTGGTTTTGGCACGATCTCTGATGCGGTGAGCACAGTAGCCTCTTCCTGACTGCTGAAAGCTTTTGCCACCGCTGCAGCCACACCTTGGCCCTCGTTACTGCGCACAAGTAATCGCTTTTAGTCGTTTAAGATAACAGACAAGTCATCCAGCATTCCAGAAAGACTTCAAAGAACAGATATTGAGGCCATTCCACAGAATGAAGTTGCTTTTTGATATTTAAATCACCTATCTACGTCGGAAGCAAGCCTCTGAACCGCTTCCTCGTAAGCAGGAGGTGGTGTAGATCCGCCTTTCGACTTGCCATTCCTGCAGTCAAAATAGGAAAGACTAATTAAATGACGAAAAGGAGGATTTCAGTAAAGCTAAGAAGCATAGCCCACATCAGGAATAGCTTTATTGCAAGTCTCCAATCGACGATATTAATAAACAAAAAATTGCTTCTGCGACAAAATATAAGGCACTGATAAGCTCTGTCGAGAACTACATCCATCAAACCTCAGAGACGATATTAGAGTAGCAGCGTTTGATAAAATGTGTAAAAAAGCTTATCTTCGATCACCAGTAAGGGCTGTTTTTCTCACCTAGAAGAGTAGCTATCGTCGTCATCGTAACCCCTTTCACGGTCGCGATCACTTGCAGATCCGCTCTCGTACTTATCATAACGATCACCTGCCTTTGAGCCGTAACCATCGCGATCACCACCTTTCGACGAATAACTATCACCTGCCCTGGACCCATAAGCATCACGCTCTTTAGATGCATCGCGCCCATCGTAACTACTATCTCTACTTCGCTCCCTATCTCTTCCGTAAGGATCCTCGTCCCTATACCGATCACCATCTCGGCCACTGCCCCTCCCAGTGTAATCATATTCGTCTCTTCCCCCACGGCTTCCTCCATACCGCTCATCATCCCTATGACCATAACTTCCCCTAGTGCTTGAATAAGAACTTGAGCGGTGAGTTATTCCGGTGCTAGAGACTCCACGATATCTGAGTTCACGGGTCACATCCATTCATTGGCGTGTTAAATCTACAACACCTGAGAAGTTTGCAGCTTTGCAAAAACGATCAACTTACTTACAATGCATTTAGTGCGCAGTGGCATCCACAATCAGATATATCATATACAAGTTCTTCGTGTTTGCATCGGAAGATATTGAAACGAAAAACAGGGGGGAGAAAATTCAATACATCAGTGAACACAGAGGAGGGTGAGCGAAGTTTAAGACTTTAAAAAGTAAAAAGGAGTGCTCGACACCATACTTATCACGATTGGCAGCCGCCTTGCTTCTCACTTCTCGGATTCTATCTTTATCTTTGATCAAAGCTACCAGAGTCTGAGCCTTCTTCCGTACATTAATTCCCTGATCCTTGCCACTTGGCTCTAGGTATTGAAAATCGCACAATGTCTGAAAGGACGAAAAAAATAGTTTGTTAGTTGTAGGATCTGATGCAGAAAGCTGTTAGGACTGACACTTTTTCGACACAGTGGGTTACCCCTAAAAAAAAAAGTGAAAAGAAAACAGAGGGATTCGTCAAAATAAGTAACAGTGCTCTGCAAATTCCTGCAGACAGCTACCTGGATCTGATAAGTATGCTCTTGAAGTTCATCGATGACCCTCTCTGCGCCATTTGCAATCAAGAATTCCAAAACTGTCAAAGCCTACCACACACACGGATTCAACATGGTCAGCTTTTGGAGTGTCGTCCCAGCCAAAACTCCTTCAAAAAAAACAAAAAAACAAAACAAAAAAAAAAAAAAAAAAAAAACTGAAGCACCATGATACTCTAATGAAAGAAGACTGAGCAAATTCCAGCCAGTCAATTGTCGCTGAGTACGAGGTGACTAGGTAAAAGCCTCAACATGCTCCTGCTCAGGTCGGCAAAAGGTTAAATCACCTTGTACACATGGCGCCAATTTCTCCCAGTGTCATTTAGGCGTTTGTACAGGACAGCCATTATCATTTGGTAGTCATTGCTGCACAATGCAGACCAGAACAAGAGCTTAAGTTTTTGAATATGTCCGACGAGTGGCATGCAAACTCAAGAAAATTCGTTCTAAAAATAATACATAGTTACGCAAGAGTAGATTAAGAACATACTAATTTCGAGAAGCCTGCGCAATGTCTCCCATGATCGATCCATGAGGACCCCAAGGCTCGTTGCTGGTTGCCTCCAACACCTAAGAAAACGAATACAAATTCAATCCTCGTTCCCATCCAACATCACCAAAGTGTGTTGTACCATATAAATCCCCTCTACATGGACCTCGAAAAGAACAGATGTACAGCCCACTATCTCTCTCTGCCTTGCAGAATCCTTGAATGTCTCGTTTTTAGTCTTGTAGAAAAGAAGGTAATTAGTGCAGTAAAAGGTGCATGCTAGCTCTGCCAACGTAGCATTGCGACGCTTATTCACATCCACATGTAGAACGACCACCTCTCTTACGGTATGTCAGCAATTCATAACGACTCAACAAATCCAAATTGATGGGAAATGGTTGTCGAATCTAAATAAACATTCAAGCCTTGAAACTCGTACTGGACTAACCGAGCTTCGTGCCAGAGACCTGAATAAGTAATACCCATACATCACAGGCGGTGCATGCATCTCATTTCGAGAGCAGATCCTTACCTTCACTTCAATCTCGGGAACCTTAAGCACCTTCTTGTTGACCTCTCGCTTCCTGTGCACATCCAACAACAATCAGCCATTCATACATCTCCTCTAGATCCTCCGCTGTCCTTCCAGTAAGATCAACCCCCCATTGCACTCCTCCGTGAAATAAACCCACCATTAAACCTATGTAAACCCCGAAAACCGTGTCCGCCATCCCTTGCATCATCAATCCCCACCCGACCAAGAACCGCCCATCTCACCCACTAATCTCTCAGGAAACTCACACAAATCCGAATCAGCACTCCTCTCCACAATGCACCTCATGTCAGATACGCAACCGCCCATGGCCAAACGAATAAACTCGAGGGAACGAGAACACAAAACTTACAGCTCCCGGACGGTCTGATCAAACACTTTCTTCAGATCCATAGCTGCGCACCCGAGCTCAGCTACAGACGAAGCTCTTCTTCCCGCTCCACACAACAACAACAACAACAACCAATCTCCCCAACAAACTCCCCCCCTCCTTTTGTGTTCTAGCAACCACCACAACCCCAAAATTCCACCGGATTCAAAGCGCGTCGAGACCGACTTCCATCCCCGAAGACGCAGCCCAAGCTTCCTTCCGTCCGGCGTGCGGATGGGCTGCCAAAACCGCGACGGATGCGTTGCGACAATAATGAGGTCGATGAATCAGTCATTACCGCTCCCAGTCGATCCCGTCGCAAGCTGCAAAGTTGTGATGGTTCTAGAGGGCGGAGCGATTCTTCATGGCCAGCTTGCACCGCAACAGCGCTCCTCGCCGCTTCTATTCCTCCACCCCCCCCCACCCGACCTATGACCGAGACTCCTCGGTAGTGTCGTACCGTGCGGGGCTTGGTCATTGGGCCAGGACTAGGTCAGGTTCTGAGGCGGAGTGATCACCCGTGACCGTCACCCCTAGGACCCTTCACCGTTGGGCTTTGGTTTTCTTTCAAGCTCATGAAATTTCGATGCGTTGCTAGGTCGTTGGGTGTTTGGTTGTGTGTCTGGCTTCCTTCCTCTTTAAGCGTGTGTGTGTCTTGGATCGGTCTTCTGCTTGGAATTCTCTTCTGCTGCTCCCCTTTCATCTCCTCGGAGTTGGGTGAATTGAAGCAGTCTACCACAAAACGAACTCATGCACCAAACTCTATTTGGTGAACCTGAGCGATACATTCTGCGTAGCGTACTCTAGAATGAGTTCCAGTCACGCTTTTGTGGTTTTTCTTTCTTCTGCGGCTACGTGATCGTGCCACCGAATGTAGTTGTGGCAATCTTCGTACCCAATGCGATGCATCGGTTTGATACCTGGCACGACCCATGCTGCAGGAATTCCTGGGTCTTGACCTCGTTTTGCCTTCACCCCCAGCTCAGAACGTGGCATTGCTGTCCCGCATGCTTTTGCATCAAGCTCTGTTTTATCAAAACAAGCGCAACCTGTATCTGCAGGTTTGATTCTTGACCTTGCAGTGAAGTCCCTGTAGCTTCGTGGATTTGAGATCAGATAATTTCAAGGTGGTATTCTTTTTTTTCTGTCAGAGAAAATTGAATAGAGTGGAATGGAAATCTGCGTGAGTAGTTTGGGATGTACGGTGTTTTTGAGTGGTTGGAAGAGAATCTCGGCCTTTTCCTTTAAAATATGTCGGGAGTGTGGATGATTGGGAGTTTGTTTTGAAATATTAATGATAGAATCTAGTGACATGAATTGATCCTCCTTGTTTATGAATTTGACAGCGTTGGTCAGTTTTAAAACACACGGAAATGTAGCGTAATGGAACAGTTGCTTTGGTTTGTGGCATTTATTTCTTCGTTAACTCGGTAAGTTCATGACAATATTCTCGAATTGCATTTAAGTCGACTTGTATTGTACATATAAAAAAATAAAAAAATAAAAAAATAAAAAACTCATCAAATTGGAAGAATTTTCGTTGATTTCTTTACAACAATAACAACGACAATAACAATTTGCTGAAAGAAAACTATCATGTTTTATTCCCAATCAATATACAAGTTCAGTAACTAGATTGTCATGCATGTCACTTGAAAGTAATTTACCAAATTTTAAACAACAATTTACGACTCATACACAATTCAGATTCATGGCATTGCTTTACGTGTGTTTTGTAACAACAGAACATGGCATAATTTTCACCCTTGCAAAACAACAAAGCTTAAAAAACAGAAACGATATCCACAACCACGAAAAAAACCAGCATGAAACTTGTGCCAAAACCAATGAGCCGTGGTGGTGACAGTTGTGTGCTCATCCTGGATCTGTGAGCGACCAAATCCTTGTGTCCTTGTGAAGTTTCAAAAACCGCATCACAGAGAAGGAATCTTGGTTGACAAAAGGCCAAGATCAACAAGATGCTTCTAATGCAGAGTAGTTGAGCTCGGAGCATCGGAGCTCGGTCTTTCCTGCGACTCGCTCCGCATCTCGCCGGGTTCTCACGGGGATTGCTCAAAGACCATTTATAGCAACGCAACCCCCGTCGCCTAGCCGCTTCCCTGCTCCACGTCCCCGAAGCACACGCCAATCTTGCAACGGCACGCATCGGCCGAGAAGAACGACATGGAATCAAATCCAGGAAGCATGTACAACCGCAGCCAGTTCCGGACTGCGTGTGTTGATAGACGCTGAAACCGTGCAGGAATCCCGCATCTTGTGTGATGCCGGCAATCCTTGTCTATCGACGTGCTGATAAGCTTGTTCATCAGGTCCTGTGCTTACCTACTGTGCTCCTTGACGTTACACCCTCTCGCTGCGTAATGGGTACCCGCGACGAGGTGCAAATGATCTTTCTGTATATCGACCTTGCGACCCGGAAAATTCTCTCTACACCATCACCGACACAGTTGGAGCTGTGGATCGGGCAAACACACATTTTTCCTTGGTGGGTGGTGTTGCTTTGATACTATAACGAGTAATCGCTGAATGGCAGTGTGTTTATAGATAGAGAGCATCGGAGAGAGTGTCGAGATGGAGGTGTGTGGGTAAAATGTGGACCTTCTGAGCAGGGAGGTGCTCTCCAATTAACTTGCAACTCCAGCAACTCCAGCTATGAATCGTGTGTTACATTGCAAGGAACAGTGAGTAGTGAGAGAGAGCTAGATGTGCGATCTGTGCACCGACAATGTGTGGAGGGGATTGCAGGCGTGGATCGAGAATTCGCCTCGGATGGAGCTTCGCAAGAGTGGCCGTGGAAACTAGAAAATGGACAGTCCACATTTCAGATTCCCTCTGGGGATTGTCTTTGCCGTGCGAGTTCTAGGGTTCCGGTGGAGCGGGTGACTCCCTAAACTGGACTCTAATTATCTGCGTTCATTATTTGTACCCTTTGTGTTTAGTGAGAACAATTCAAACCAATTTTTCATATACAAAAAAAGGAAAGACATGAGCTGTTGTTGTGTAGGGAACAAGTACTCTTATGTTTGTAAAGATCATTATTTTTAATTTAAGTTATTTGAAGATAATCCATACCATTTTTTTTAATTTAGGAAGGTACAAGTTATCACCTTTTGTATCTAAAACCATGAAGACACCAGAAATTCCAAATTACTTTAAATTCTCTAAATTCCCTCAACATGTAAGGCACGTATTATAAATACAAGTAAAAAAAATTATATTGAAGTTAGTCAAGGAGGGTTACAATTCTGTTCCAGCCACTGAAACAATCAAAACGAAACAATGCTTTTAATAATAAACTAACTTAGAAAAAGTAAATATGTTTAACTTTGAACATAAACAAATGCCTTTTAACTGATATTTTGTATGATATCTTCGTCACCCAGTATATGTTTACATATATATAAGCTCATATTAATCCAACTTCTACACCATCACAGAATTTCTAATAAAGTGAAAAATGAGAATACGAGTGGTTTTATGAAATCATAGGAATCTTTAAAATTACAAATATATTTGAAGTAAGTAATTTGTTCCTTCAAGTAGATATTGTGCCTTTAAAGGTTTGTGTACTTCGAAATTGATGACATTAAGAAAATCATCACACAATTAATAACCGGGAAGTCAGTAACCACTGGCCGGATACCATTCCACAGAGTAACATCAACTTTGGATGTCTAGATTAATTTGATAATGTGCTTCCAGAGACACCACCTGGTCTCCAACAATGGAAATAAAAGCTCCAAATTTATTGCGCTTATGCAAATTAAAATTCATCCACCATGTACATTGAAAATACACATCCACAATCTTAGAGCGTCCATTCAACAGCCCTGTTTCTTTCCGCCGAAATGTGCTTAACCTCAACCATAGAGGGAATTTGGCCAGCTAAAACCACAAGCATCTGCTCCATTGCAATCGTGCTATACCCCTTTTGAGGGTAACACCGATTTATCGACATCAGTTGAGAAGGAATTACATCTATTGTTTTCTTTTTTGGCAACTCTATGGGCCAAAAATCCGAGCTGATATGCGACATACCTCACAAATGCCGTAACTGACTCAACCAAGTGTCAGCTACATCCAAGTCCCGCTCTGGGTCCAAAAATCGATTACCTCACTTTCTTATTCCCTGTTGCCTGCAATAAGTTGACTTGTTGCGATGCCTACACCTAGTAAATCTGCAGCTCCCCACTTGAAGTCTCCTCCAAGATGCACCAGTGGATATGAGTATCTGCTTGAGGGATTCCAAACCTTGACGTTCCGTCTAAGTCCCAAGAAAGCTAGGTGCTAGGGTCCACTATTATCAGGTTGTGTTGTTACAAGGGTGTCTCGGTATTCTACCAGCTTCTTAGCCACAGCTAATTTGTTGTACCGATGTGCCTGCAAACAAAAATCAACGTACATTCCAAACTTAGCTGTAGAACCAACTTCTCAAAACAGGTAACTTTAAGCAGAATTCTTTGACAGTTGTCATCTAAATGAATGAGAGAAATATTAGTACCGATATACTTGAATAAGCTCGTCAAATATTGCAATGATGTGCAACAATCAGGAAGCTATCGAATCAAATCAGGCTACATCATAAGTAAAAAATGTGATCTTGAACTACAAGGAGAAATCCATCACAGTCGAGGATAAAATAAGAACTGCAAGACGCACCTGCAGAATAAGTTGCTCCAGAAAATTGCCTTTGTCCACTGGAAAATCTGGTACAGACAGAAGGTCGAACAACTGCACGTACAACACATGCATTGCGTAATCAGCGAAGAACAACCAGTAAAAGAGCATATCATCCTGAATCCGTTGAAAATTATATAACAAATTATATAACATTTATCAGTAATACTATGTGGCAGTAAAGTAAACGAGAATTGATGAGTAAGACCACAGCGGAGAAGAAATGAGTCACAAAAGATTTGATGCGTAGTGTTGTTTGATGAAGAGAAGATGACCTGTTTAGTGTTTGAAGGCTTCGAATAACGGAGAGCCCGGATAACAGAAAGAAGAAACGCAACTACATGAGATTGCTCCTGATGTATCCCCATCGGCGCCATATGCCTCTTCCGTCTCCCTTGATCAATTGCTCGGTTCCCCATGTCATTTGCTACCTCTATATCCATATCATTGTCAAATTTCTCTACAGCTCTCAATTTATCTCCATACTCGTTCAGCTTTTCAGGGATTGAAACTGGTGACTTGTGATTGGCTCTTAACATATTTCCTTTCTCTACATTATCAGCACCAGCAACTAGGATTCTGTGATCATAGTCTTTCCTTTCTAAAGTAACTGAGACTGGTTCCACTGTTTTCCCATCTAGGGTGCTTGTGTTTGCAGCATCTACACTTGATTGTTGACCTCTTTGAGGTGATGTGACCTCCGCATTTGGTGACGATGTCTCTGTTGAAGAATCAGCGAGACTGGAAAGGTTGGAGGAGGAAGGGGATGACGAGAGTGATGGAGAGGAACCGGATTCCCCTTGTTGATGAATACGCCTATTCCGACCTCGCTTCCGTCCTCTTTGCAAAAGCCCTCCTGTACCTTCACTCCAACCTTCATCCGCTCCACCATCGTTCTTCTCCTGCCTGTATGGGTTACCAAACATCATGCGCTGCTGCTTTGTCCGGTCAGGTTCTTCTGCCTGTAAATGAAATGCAATCGAGGAGATCAGTCGCAAGCACCAGATTGCCACAGAGAACCATCTTATTATCGTAGAAGTCAAAACCTCTAAGCTTTGAAACAACAATGACTATACCGAGAAGAATCAGGTTAATATCAAACCATCGTATCTTTGAGAGGAAATTCTACGCTTTCGTGCAACACATGTTGCTTACATCTTCCAAATCCGAGATTTAAAAAGGGAGCATGCTGAAATGAATATGCTAGAGCTGATCCGGTGCGCTCAATGTCAAGAATATATTATGCATTTGATTAACATTCAACACTCGGTTCAGAAATTTACTTACAAATGGGTTGCGGGGTGGCTGCTGCTTCAGAAGCGCATCATTGAAATCTCCCATCTGGGCACATCAGGAACATCACCGGACTGCTTAGACAGGAGACGTAAGATGTTTCATCAAGGGAGAAGGAGCATTATCAGGTTTACTCATGTCATTGTGAGACGTTCTCAATTTAACTCTTGGTTAGCACTGAACATAGTCAATATGTATGTAGTGGACAATGCCAACTGCAAATCAATAATTGAATGCCTTCAATCGAACAAATAACTAGCAACACTTTGCCATAATTTAACCACCTTTTCAATCGGAAGAGAATGTCGAGCATCATCGTCCTCCTTCGCCGCCAGAAGTGCAGCCAGGTTGCTAAGGCTGGACTTAATGGCTGGTTTTCCAACATCTCTATCCAATCTTCTACTTTGCCGTGTCTCCAATGCTAGTCCAATTCGAATGGGCAGATATTGCAGTTGACTGCATCCGGCAGAAAAATAAGTTAAATCTGATGGATGATGCTATGCAGGCGAAGCTTTTCGTCTTAGAAAAGATGGCACTTTTGTAAGAGGATGAAGCAAGTACCTAAGCAGTTGATCACGCGGAATATCAAAAGGATTCTTGAAAAGACTAACATCTTTCATGATACCCGTTGCAACCGGAGGAGCTGTAATTTCAGGGCTGGGCATGCTGAGCGTAGGTGGAAATGAAGTAGCTGGGGTATATGTTGGTGGAACATGGGCAGGGGTGGGGCCAGTGGGAAGAGGCATTTCCCAGCCTGGTCTTCGAATGCTCACTTGCTCACCATGACCTATTCCCCGTTGAGGTGTGACAAGACTTGTTGCAGTCGTAGACGTGAATCCCGGGGGTGCCTCTGCAGTTGGCGGAGTGGATTGAGGAAGGGTCCTCGATAATGATCGTGTTACGTTGCCAGCACTTACTACTTGTTGTCCAGCCTGTTACAGACCAACGAGACTAGAGTTAAATTAGACCACTAAGATTCGAAAGAGACAGTGAAGGAAGTCAGAAGAGGATTACGTATCCGCATTAAATAGACAGATTAAGAGCCGACGGTTATCTTTCAAACGTCGGCAGAGGGTGAATTCACGGCAGCAGGGAGCGGCTCACGATTCAATGTTGGATCCTGTTTCAAATTTGAAACCTAAAAATAAAGCTTAAGCAGAGGAAGATATTACACGCGTCATAAAAAATGACATCAAAGCTTCAGCAAAAACGATTCACCACTACAATACAGACCATGATGCGAGCCATATCAGCATCAAAGAGCTCCTTGGCTTGTGTTTTGAATCGTTTCAGCTGGGTGCCCACATATCCTGTGTACAGGTTACTGTCCATTGACTCAGGTACGACGTGAGCGTTGATGCCCCAACGCTTCAAGGCAATTCGTAAGGGCTGTCCATAATATGCCGGAATACTGCTACAATATTTCTCCATGTCTTGCCGCCACTGAGGTAATGGAGACATTTTGGATTGCCCTGGCATCTTGCCAAGCTGCTCTAGAAGATGCCACAGTACCTGGAGCCCAAACATCCAAAAAGGTATTGCATTAAGTAAGAAGTTAAGAAAGTTTTACGACAGAATAGTGTAGATAGAACATAAGCCACGCTAAGAATCACACATCAAGCCCATGTAAAACTAAATCAAAAAAGGAAAAGCTGGCTTACCGGATAATTGTACGGCAGAACAAAAAGAGTGAGATTGCTTCCAACACGATTGAGTCTCAAATATCTGTCATTTTTGAGAACAAAGTCAGCGATGAAAGATCAATCGTAAAACAAGAGCATCATGAAACAGATACGCACATTAAATGCCCTCATGGAAAGGAACAAAGATAAATAAAAAAATAAAGAAATAAAGACAGAGAAACAAAATAATCAGAAATAGATTTCCTTTCTGAAAACGCTAGAAATCCATAAATTACCCGAAGGGATCACCGTAGCCATGATTTGTGCCTTTACTATTACGGACAAAGACTTGCCAACAAGCTCCAGAATTGGCTTTCATGAGAAACCCCATGATTGGATTGGATTCAATCTGCAACAGTGCATAAATTCAATACATCCACCCTTCTTCGAGAATATATAATACAAACCAGACCTGAAACATGCACATTAGCATGTCGGGTACATGTTTGGTACAAGAAGCACCAAGAAGTCCCCAAAACAAAAACGCACCTCATACTTGTCGAAAATGAAGTTGACAGGTATATGAGGATCAGCGTCAACTGGCTTGTATGCAATCATAGGATGAGGATCTCGCGGTGGAATGCCCTGATTCGAGGGATCTGGCCAGTATGCCTCAGGAATAGGCCAGTGCCCCTGTCCTTGAGTTTGTCCGCCTCGAACCAGCAACATCTTCCTATGACAGGCCTGCTGTACCTGTCACAAGTGGAAGCACATTCATTAACACCTTAACAATGGAAACATTTTCCCACATCATCTCAGTATTGCATGCAAAGACTGTAGGTGCATACATGTATTCCAAAGCTTGAGACGGTAAATCGAAGACAGATAAAACAAGTCCTTTTTCGCACAATTATTTCTGACAACGAAATTAGGATACAAATCTTAATTAAGAAAATCAGACAGTTGGTTGTTTGAGGCACCTGCGGAGGGAGAGAAGAGGGGTTGGGCATAGTCTCAAAGGAGACAATGACACAAGGAGGCAGGCGTGTGGCTGTCGCTTCTGTGTGCTGCATCAGCACCTTCCAGCTAGTCGCAACGAAACACTTTCCCCTGGAGTCACCCAAAATCAGTTGCAGGCCTTCTATACAAAGACATTTTTAAAATATTGCAAATAACACAATACACAACTAGGTAAGTTGTGGGTAAAGTTGATATGAAGTCATCCTGCGATTAAGTGATTTCGAATAGTGTCTTTGAGACTTATTCATCTATGAATGATCAGACCTTCCCTTACCACAGCAGTTCAAGAATAAAGTAAGAAAGTGGAGAGGTTGAATACGCACGTCCAATCGTATAATTGACAAGACGTGTAATCCAAGATCCAAATTTCCATATGCGAACTCGTACTTACCCTGTGTGCTCGCAAAACTGAGAAATATTTGTATCCATGACCACAGCAGAAGGTGCTCCTGATATAGGTGCATTTTGAGGAATAGGTCCACTTCTCTCCAAAACTGCAGGACTAACTGATGGTATTCTGTGTAACAAAAGCGCAGAACCACATCCAATATTAGAGATTTCATCAAGTTCAAGAAATTTAAAGTATGCCATGGCACCAGAAAAGTTTATAACTCTGAATTGCACCAGAAAAGTTTCAACGTTCGCATGAAAAAAAAGTGGAGATTTTTAATTTCAACAATACTACATCCTCAAAATAGCATGTTCTCTTCAAGCTCTCTTCATTGCTGATTCGGTTTTGTGGTTTGTCTTAAGCTGGTAGAAAATCTACCCGTTGTGCCCAAAATATGACCACTTGTTCTCTGAACAAATGATTGGACTGGAGAGGACCGCAACAAATTGGTTTAAAATGACCGAAGACAAATACTAATGGCGAGCGCATAAAGTAGAATGACATTAATGAATATATACGCATAAATATGTCACCTCAAGACGGTTGCAAAAACGCGTTGATCCCATCGGAATGGCTGCAGCGTCAATTCGCTTCCCACTGCCGTGGGACCAGTAGGTTGCAGGTTGTTACTCACGCCATCCTGAGCAGCACAAGTAGAACTTGGTTAAAAATGAATAAAAACGACTTAATAATGCAATTGTCCAACGCACCAGATTTTATTCAGATACTGATAATCAATCAGTGACAAGCAGATGATGTACCACAGAAGTGAGCTCGGTCCCATCGGTGAGTAACAATATAGTGGTCAAGTCATTGTAGCATGGATTGCGCCCTTGCCCTGCATTTCAGAACCCTACAACTCAGACTCTCCATTACTCCTCCCAAAACAATAACACAAAATGGAAAAGGAAGGATCAAATCCGAAAAGCAAAGGGCTGTGAGATGTACAGGTCATGTTTTATAATATAGCTCTCATCATACCATTATATATGCGAATGGCTTAGGCTATCACCAAAAGAAACAAAACTTAAATGCATTATCCAGCCCATTCATTTAGGGTTTGTGTAAAATATGCAGTTTGTTCAGGAATGAACTTTACCGTAACGATCAATATCAAGTACAAGACGTTGCACATGCAGAAAGTTGAAAATCCGGTGCAAAGCTCCTCCGAGATTGGTCATGTCCCGAGCTTGCACGCTTTTCAGAGCACGCATGAAATGTGTAAAGGGGTACTTATCAACCACCTAATCACAGTGGGCGGTCAGTCAACGAGCATGCACACCATTTTCGATACCTCAAAACCATAACCCTCACCACACTCATGCCGACGCAGAAAATTCTAGACAAGAGAGGAAAAACAGGATTTTCCAGCTTGCAAGCCATATGAGAGATACCTTAATGTAATCCGATCCCTCATCGCATGTGACGAGCATATACCTGCAGTGTCCGTCCGCCCATCATCACCCATAATGCACATGCACATGTCCCCTACCTAACTGATTCCAGAAAGAAAATCCATTCAACAACATCAACTCTGGCCTGTTACAATAACACCGCGGCGAGAAGAATCAACAGGAGTAAAATTCCCTAACCTGTCCACACGACATGATGCATCTCGTGATCGTACCTACACATGACAGCAGGGACGAAACACCGGAATTAGAGCAGAAAATCGCAAATGGCGGTCCCCAATTCTTACTCGACATTTCCTATATACTCTTATTAGCGCCTTCACATCCAGGTGCGGGACAAGTAAACTCCTGCGGCGAAGTAAACTCCTGCGTCATTATTATGAAAATCGATGAACCATCCATCCAGCTCCCACCTCTCAAAACGCACAATTACCAACACGATACTTGAAACGCCAAGAACTGAGGGAAAACAGTCCTTGGAGCTCGAAAACAACAGACCTTGTGGAAGTGCTCCACGGCGCTCTTAGCACAATCTAGCAACGAGAGGCCATTGTTGCAGCGCTGGTTCATGGACGCGCTGGTGTCCAGCAAGAATACGACCAACATCGCGCCTCCACCTCCTTTCCTGCTGGTGATCCTCTTCCTGCACGTCACAGCTCACCAAGGCTGGATCCCTCCACAACCCAACACCCTCACGCATCGCCCTCCCTCCCTCTAACCCCCAACTCTCTCTCTCCTTCACCAATATCCCCCAAAATCCTCTGAACGACCCAACACAGCTCCCGAAAATCCTCACGACCTTCCTTAGTCGTTCAAATTCCTCCCAACGCTCCTATCACGAACACCGTCCACCTCATCCCGTAAACCTCCCATCACCTGCATCGCCCTGGCTGCAACCTCCACACGGCCACCGCCATCGCCATCCCTTACTTCAAAACCTTTCCATCAAATTCAAAGCCGACCGACTCCGGAGCTGCAATTTCTAATGTAGTTCGCTGCTCCTCTTGAAGCTTAGCAGCTCGAGGTGCATTGCGATGCTTCGCCATTGACTGCAATAAACGCAATACAAGAGAAGCATGGAGGTGCAGCTTGCGGCATAAGCTTTAGACTCGGTGGGGGCCGACACACGTATACATTCATGCCGACGCCCCCGCCTTTGGGTCCTTCTTCATATTAACTCCGTAGTGGTGATGGGTGCTGCCTTCGGAGGCCGCGGTCACGAGAGCCCGCCCGTTCGAGGCCCGATTAGCCCTAATATCCATGGTCTTCGTCCGACGTGGATTTTCTAAATCAGGTTTAGCATGTCCAGACACGTTCTTTAAAACAAGTATCTACATAGGTCGTTAATCACTGTTTTCTCGTGCTTATTACATCCAATCCAAGAATTTTGTACATGGGTTGAAAATATACTATGAAATTTTGATTTTTTTCCTTTTTACAAGAATGTGGATTTTACTTATTAAGGTTGAATCCATGATAAGATTTTATTATTACTGTAGTTTAAAAAGGTACATTTGCCTTTAACAAGGTACATTTGACATATTATTTGTTTAATCTGGAGATGAAAGAAGATGTATTTGTTCTAAATCATATTAATAAATTTAATGTGATTACAACTCAAATAAGTTTTGTACAACTAACCCTTGAAAATAAGACTAAAGCTTTAATTTTGTTGTTGTCCATATCTAAAATTTGGACAATAATTGTGAATATAGTAAATATTTTTTAAAAAAACAAGAAGTTGAAACTTAATAAAGTACAAGATTTAATTCTTAGCAAGGATGTTAATAGGAGAGAATTAGGAAAATCTTTGAGTTTTGTCTTGAATATTGAAAATAAATGAAGGAGTAAATCAAAATTCCAAAAAGATATTACTAATTGGAATTGTAGTATTAAGGTCACTTTTTTGGTGATTGTGATCAACCGAAGAAGAATAAGAAGAATGAAAAGCACTTCACATGGATACATTATATAAGAAACCAACAAAAAGTTGAACGGAAGAGTTTCAACAAGAAAATTAAGAAGAACTTGATTTAACCAAATGAATACAAGATCAATACCAAGAAAGGTGAGCTAAAGTTCTAAGAGATGTATTGTCGAGATTGAGAATCCCCTCAGCCTAAACTCCAATATATATTAGGTATCAAGAAGGTTTTCAAAAGAAATTGATGTTGCTTAAAGATGAAGCAATCTTAGGAAGCTTCACAAATAATTTCTATAATCCTCCTAGAACTTTTTAGAACTTATTAGAATATTCTTAAATCTTCTAAAACCTTTTAAAAAACTTTTAGAATCTAAAAGAATATTCTAAGAATATTTTTATAATCTTCTTATTAGATGTCTGTGACATTATTTCTTCTTCTAACTCCGAGTTCCATGAAGAATATTGATTTCATATTTACTTTCTTTGTTATATACATTCTAACACTAGCTTCATAAAGAAGTCATTCTAAAATAGGTTTAAATTTTTGAAGATAGCATCAATAAAACTCCTATATTTTTTACAGCACATTAACTAGATTTTTTTTTATTCCTACATATATTCATTGATATCGTAGTAGCACCAATGAACAAAATATTTTAACTTACCTCTTCTTTGTCAAGAATCCATGATCTTTTCTATCACATATTTTACATAACTATCTATTTCAATGCAAGGTCAAAATGATTGTATTCTTCTTAGAATAATTGATTTTGAATAAGCCTTTAAAAGAAAAATATGAAATTTTGGATATACTTTTATAGATGTGGGTAGTTCCAACTGACAAGCCACAAGATTGATTTGCTTTTGAATACAAAATGCCTCGAGTCTTTGATAGTCTAACTTATTGCAAGGCTGATTGGTCTTGATATTTTGTCAAAGAAACCATATTTTATCTCCAACTTAAAAAATAAGGGGTTCTTTTCTAAATTTGTCTAAAAATACTTTATAAGAATCTCAAGCTTCTTGTAAATGGAGCTTCAAAGTTATTTGGGATTGTGACAATTGTTTTGTAAGATCTTCAACTCTTAGATTTTCAACCTTTGATGTACCTAATAAATCAAATTTTGGATAGTAACCATAATTAAAGTAAAATAGTGTTTAATAAGTTGAAGCATAAAGAATATTATTATAAGTAAAATTTACTAAAAATAAATATGAGGTCCAATCATCTTGAAAATAATTGATGGTACATCATAAATACTACTTTAAAACTTGGTTGACTTGTTCTATTTAACCATTTGTTTGAAGGTAGAAAGTAAATGAAAGTTTGATATCTAATTTTAATATTTCAAAAAAAGATTTCCAAAACTTTGATATAAATTGAGTTCTTTGATAAAAAAAAATAATATCATTAGGTAGGCTATCATGTCAATATATATTATCAAGAAAGAGCCTTGCCATTACTTCGTTGAAAATTACCTGTTTGTATGGGACAAAATGTGCTATCTTTATAAGTCAATCCACAACAATATAGATAGCATCAAATATAGCTGATGGCAAAAGATCAGTGATGAAATCCATTGATATTGAAGACTATAGTTGCTTCAAAATTGGTAGTGGCTATAGAAGTTTACAAGAACAATGTCAAAAAAAATTAGATCTTGAAGAGATGTCATTTAAGAAGACAAAGTCCTTCACAATCTTTTACATTTGAAGCCACCAAAAATCAATGGAGATAAGCTTCAATATTTTATTAAATCCAAAATGTCGTGTAGTTGGATAATCATGATGACATTGAAGAATAGAAAGTCATATTGGTTATTTTGGAATATATAAATAATCTTCAAAATACAAAAGATCTTCCACAAACTTGAATTTGCTGTTCTTAGTACACTCCTTGATATTATAAACTAATGAGTCTTTAACTAATGCTATATGAATTTATTCATGAAAACTTAAATCAACAAGTATAACCATATAAGTAGCACAAAGATAAATTATTTTAGTTTTAAGAAAGTGGAATATTGTTGATCAAATAGTACTTCTCTTGCCTATGGACTAAGATATGATCTCTTTGGTAAAGCATTTGATAGTCCTTGTTGCTCTCTTAGTCAATATGTAATTACAAAATCAAAACAAAATAATGACATATTCTAACAAACTTGGTTGCAATTCAAAATCCAAATTGATATGAAATATTCTAAATTTTTGTGATCTATATATATAATCAGAAGATATATTATACCTTCAAATAAGTAACACTATTCTTAGAAAGATTCTATAATCACAAGAAGATCCTTATTGTAAATATCATTATTAATCTCTATAGCTGAAAACTTTCTAGAATAGTACGTAATTTGGTAGAACTTTCTATCTTCTTTTTTTATATATTATAATATAACTCCTAATGGAAATTTGGAAGCATCAATCTCCAAATAAAGGGCCTTTATGAAATCTGGATGTAGTAAGATTGGAGCTTTAGTTAAAGCAACCTTCAAATTTTAAAAAGTCTTTCGTACTTTAGGCCCTCATTTCAATTTGACTTTGGATGTCAAATGAATAAAAAGAGTAGCAACTTAGGAGTAATTTTTGACAAATATTTTTTAGAAATTAGCAAATTCAAGGAAACATTGTACATCCTATATTGTCTTTGGAGTTGTCTACTCTGTTATAATTTAAACTTTCTTCAAGTTTATTAACAAGATTTCATTTAATATAATATATCTAAAATATTTCACTTTTGATTGATAGAATATGCATTTTTCTAATTTGGCATATAATCCCATATTTTATAATTTTTGCAAGTTTAATCTTATATGTTTTTTATATTCTTCAAAAATCTTAGAATGGATTAAGATATCATCAAGATATCAGACAACAAACTTATCTAGGAATTCTCAACAAATATCATTCATCAAATTCTTGAATATAGGTAGAGCATTTATTAATCTAAAAGGCATGACATTATATTTAAAATATTTATATTTTATCCAAAATATTGTCTTCTATTTATCCCTCTTTTTAATTCACGCCAAATTATATGCTCTACAAGAATATATTTTGGTGTAGATCTTTGTTTGATTGAATTACTCCAAAAGCCTTGATATCAATAATAATATACAATGATTCTTCATTGTTATTTTATTAAGGCCACAATAATCAACATATATTTGCAAAGATCTATCTTTTTTCTTTATAAAAAGTATTAATGCTTCTCCTTAACATTTGAAATACAAAATAAAGTTTTTTGTAAGATTTTTGTTTATTTAAAATTTTAATGCCAAAAATCTGTTTTACAATAAGTTGTAGATTGCACCAAATGGTGGTTGAACCTCTTTTTAAAGATCAATGGTACAATCATATAGTCAATGCTTTGGTAATATCTCAACATTTTTTTTTAAAGCCATGTCAAAATTTCTTATAATACTCTCAAATAGCCACTAGCAAGTTTGTTTCTTTATGAACTAAAGTTATATAAATAGTAAATGTCATTTCTTTCTTAACCATCTTCATAAAATCTTTTGCTCCAAAAAATAAGGGCTTTATTGTTCATAACTTCTTAATAGGTTTTGCCAAAAGTAATTTTATTGGAAATTCAATCTTATAAAACTTCTAATCTATAGATAGATTATACCTTTTTAACCACAAAAGTCTTAATATGATAGGATTTGTCATAGACACAGAAATACAGACTTGAGATCTAACAAGAAGTTCAAGAAGAATTGGCAAGAACTAGATTAATCAGATGAATACATGAACAACACCAGAGAGGTGAGCTAGAGCTCCAAGAGATGTGTTGTCGAGACTGAAGAACTCTTCAACCTCGATTCCAATATGTACTCATATTTAGGAAGCTTTTCAAGCAACTTCTACTAACTAGGAAGCTTCTAGAAGGTTCTAAAGACTTGTTTCTAGAAGGTTCTAGAAACTTATCTCTAGAAGGTTCTAAGGACTATGTCCCTAACATCTTCTATCAACTAAGAAGCTTCTAGAAGGTTCCAGAGACTTGCTTCTAGAAGGTTCTAGAAACTTGTCTCTAGAAGGTTCTAAGGACTATGTCCCTAACATCATCCCCTCCTTTAGCTTCGAGGTCTCTGAGAAGCAATGTTGTTGTCAATCAGTACCAACGCAAGAAAATGAAGATCTGTCGCATAACATCTGCTATGAACTCCAACTGTTGTTCACGAGGTAAGTGGTTCATCGGCCCTTGA